TTTGAACTGATGAAGTTCTTCTTGCATTGCTTCTATCCAGCTTTTATCTGAAAGTGCTTCATCAATTCCTTTTGATTCTATTTCAGATATAAGAGCCAAAGTACTGATGTTTTCCTTGTATTTTGACCTTGTCTTGATGCCTTCTTCCACCTTGCCAATGATGAGATCCTTTGGACGATTGGATTTGTGTTTCCAGTTTTTGTTGTATTTATCATTTTCCTCACCATTGGCTTCTGAAGAAGTTTTCTGAGTCTGGTCATCATTTTTGTCATCTTCTGTTGGCTGAGAATCATCTGGATTGTTCTGATCTGATTCTTGTAAATTCTCAATCACTTGATATTGTTCAGATTCATCATCTTGAGTTTGTTTCTGCTCATCAAATTTGACGTTCATGGATTCGTCCACTGTCTGAGTACTTTCGTTGTAGACTCTATAGGCTTTGCTTGTTAGGGAATATCCAAGAAATATTCCTTCATCTGCTTTCTCATCAAACTTGCCAACACGGTCATTTGCATTTTTAAGAATAAAGCATTTACAACCGAATATATAAAAATAAGAAATGCTTGGTTTTCTGCCTTTGTAAAGCTCATAGGGGGTTTTCTCAAGAATTAGTCTTAAGAAGACTTTGTTGATAATGTAACAAGCTGTAGAAACAGCTTTTGCCCAAAAACGATATGGAATTTTACTCTCTATCAACAGAGTTATTGCCATTTCTTGCAAAGTGTGATTTTTCCTTTCCACAACACCATTTTGTTCCGGTATACAGAGAGAAGAAAAATTATGCTAAAAACCATTTTTATCACAAAAATTTGAAAAAATTTGGTTTTCAAATTCTCCCCCATGATCAGTTTTGATGCTAGAGATAGCATAACCTTTTTCATTTTGAATTCTTTTTGCAAATTTTGAAAAGTATGAGAAAGCCTCACTTTTATGAGCTAGAAAGAATACCTATGTTAATCTTGTAAAGTCATCAATAATCGCAAGACAATATTTCTTACCACTAATGCTTTTGTTCCTTCTCTTGTTCCTTGTAGGACCAAAAATGTCCATATGAAGAAGCTGTAGGGCACAATTAGTAGAGACATTATGTATAGATTTAAAAGAACTTCTGACATGTTTTCCCAGGGTACATGCTGAACATAGTTCTGTCTTTTTTAACTATAGTTCTGGTAGTCCTCAAACAAGCCCTTTTGTAGACAACTTTGATATTTGTTTCATACTAATGTGTCCCAGCCTTCTGTTCCACAAGTCTGTATCCTCCTTGATGGAAACTAAACATAAAGCAGAGTCAGATTTTACATCAAGAAGATAAATGTTACCATGTCTTCGACCGGTGAATGATTGAGAGCAATCTTTGCTTGATCCAGAACGTACATTCTCTTGAAAGTTGATCTTGAATCCTGTATCACATAGCTGACTTATGCTAATCAGATTGTAATTGAGACCTTTAACAAGAGAGACATCATTTATCAATAGGCCCCCGATTCTAACAGTTCCTTTGCCTATGATTTGTCCTCTGTTATTTCCTCCAAATGATACACTTCCACCATTTAGCTTTTGGAGTTTGATGAACATGCTAGAGTCTCCTGTCATATGTCTTAAACACTCACTGTCCAAGTACCATTTATTCCTTTTCCTTCTGGATACCTGCAAAAATTAGAAAAACTCAAGCTTTCTTTGGTACCCAAATTTGTTTTGGTCCTTTGGAGTTAGTATTATAAGCTGTCTTAATCTAGTTTCTCCGAATTGGTCTCCAGACTTCAGAACAATCTTTCTCAAAGTGTTATGGATCATCAAAATTTGAACACTTGAGTGCATTTCGGCCAACAGGTTTTACAAAATTCTTTTGAAAATGATTTTTGTAAACTTGTCTAGGAGGTCTTTGCTTAAGTCTCTCCTTGACCTTTGGAGAATCAATCAACAGATAACTTTCCTTAGTAAAACCAAGTCCTGACTTGTGATAGTAAGGAACTTGTATGGAAAGGATATGTTCCAAAAATTTTTAGCCATTTGAAAATTTGGAAGTAATATCCGAAAATTCCTTTTTCAAAGCAGTGTTTTCTTTGACAAGAGTATCTCAATTTTCTTTGATTTGATGAAATTCCTTTTCCAGAAAATTTATCTTATCTTTTTGCGAAACATCCTGTTGCCTTAGCATAAAATTTTCCTTTTTCAATTCGGAGATCCTCTTAAGAGCAGATTTGAATTCAAACATAATTCATCAATATAATTTGATACTTCATTTGGAATATTAAGATATTTTACCTCAATGTCTGCCTTATTCTCTGAGCCAGAATCAAAATTTGAGTCTGAGTCAGACTTTGCCATTAGACAGATGTTGGCATAGTCCTCATCACTATCTTCACATTCCGTGTCGCTCCATGTTTCTGCTTTAAAAGCCTTCTTCACTTTTTCATATTTGCCTTTCTTTTTTAGAAGTGGATAGTTTGGCTTTATGTGTCCACTTTTTCTGCAATGGAAGCAAATTACATCTTTTGCAATTTCTGTTTCTTCAGGAATTTTCTTCTTCTGACTGAACTTCTTTCCTCTGAGCATTTTTCCTTTCTTTTTCATCTTTCTGTATTTCTTGATGATTAGCGCCAACTCTTCATCACTGTCTTCATCTAAGTCTATATCATCAGAATCAATGTTAGATCTCAAAGCGAATGACCTCTTACCTTTGGACTCATTTTCCTCATTTATTTGCTCTATCTCATAGGATTATAGAGTCCCTATGAGTTCATCCACAGTTAATGATATGATTCTTTGAGTTTCTCGTAGTGAGGTCTTGATATTATTCCATTCCTTTGAGAGTCCTCTCAACAGCTTGTTAACTTTCATGGGTGCTAAAACTGGATTCCCTTGATATGCAAGACCATTCACAATTTCTGTGAATCGGTCATACATTTTAGCAATAGATTCATCTGGCTTCATCTTGAAGGATTGATATTTTCCAAGTAATAAGTTCATCTGAGTCTCCTTTGCTTGATCTAGTCCTTCATAGGTCGTGTAGAGCCTTTCCCATATGTCTTTCACTGATTCATAGGAATCAATTTTCTTGTACTCAACAGGTGATAAAGCACAATAAAATGAATAAATTGCTTTTGCATCTAAAGCTTCTCTTTTCATTACTCAAATTCAGATAATGTAGTAGTTGCTGGAGTTTTGTTATTTTGTTTTGAATTTGAGGCAATTGCAGGAGGAGGTGGTTTGACTCCTCTTAAAACAACATCTCACTGCAAAGGATCAATGGACTTGATAAATGCCTTCATTTTGTTTTTCCAGACATTGTATTCTTTGCCATCGAAGTATGGTGGTTTGGTGTTGCTTTGTCCTTCTACTAGACCTGAAGCACTCATGCTAGCCATAAATATCATTAGCTCAGAAGTAAAAACACTTCAATAAACGAGCAACCTTGCTTTGATACCAATTGATGAGACTAGCAAATATCACCTAGAAAGGGGTGAATAGGTGATTTGAAGGCAAACTGATCAATTTTAATGCGGAAGTAATTGATCTCAAGCAAAGTCTGAACAACGTGCAGATTTTGGTCAGACTTTGAATGGCAAACAGACAAATGTGCAATAGAGAGATTTAGGGAATAGAGAATATGCACATAGATGTATAGTGGTTCGGCTTAGAGCAAGCCTACGTTCACTCTCTTACGCCGACAGCCTACTGGCTGGATTCCACTATATGATCGATCAAGAGATTACAAGTTCTGAATGATATTCAGAAGGATCACTCTATCTCTCTTACAATAAGTCTCTCAAGTTCACAAATTTAGGCTCGAGAATGACAAGTAAAAAACTGGTCAGAGTTTGCTCAGACTTTGTAATTGATAATTCTGGATTTCGTCTCTTTACCACTGCTCTTCGACAATTTGTCTCATTTTATACTTCTCCACTTCCAAACTAGCCGTTGGACAGTCTTCAAAGGATCATCTTCCAAACTTCATCTTGGAAATATTAGCATAGAAAGGATTGAGTAGCCGTTGAGTGATAAAATCAAAATCCCACTAAATCTGATTGCCCATACAACTAGAGATTTGGTTTCCATAAGTAGAGCTTCTCCATTTTAGAAATAAACTTGTCGTGGGATTTGATTGTCAATCAATTTATGATATCTTGCTATATAAATATTCCTTGCAAAATAGCTTTTTAAGATCGAATCAATCAATCCTTTCCATTGGTGAAAAATCCAAACAAGATTGCTAGCCATTGTTTACGTTCTGAGTAAGCGATAAAGTCTGGATAAAGTCTTTGCGCTCAGAACTTGACGTCAGAGTGGTTTGTTCAGTAAATTCTGAATATATTTATTCCAGTATATTAGCTGAGGTACTTCAACTTCTTTGTATGAAGTCTAAACTCTGTCTTTTGCAGTGTAGAACTTGGATTTCTTCTTCGAGTCTGGACTTGCAGAATGTAATTTCTTGGACTTAGAATACTTCAGAAGCATATGTCAGACTTTACTCATGGATAGTTTTGTTATTATTAAAATCTATTAGGAAATTTTCTCAATATCAATTTGTGCTGACTCAATCCAGAAAGGAACTTGTTCCTATCTTAATGGTTAATGCATGTAAAGAAGAATGACCGACAAGTCGATAACTCTTTGCGAGAAGGATGGTATGGTAAGGATATAATAATCTGGTTGATTTGTTGCATCCACTATCCACCTAACCCCCATCATTACAGTGATCTTGGTTCGATATATTTTAGTAGAGGAAGGTGATGAATCTTTCTAGAAAAAAGCTCGCGTTGAATGTGGAAAGAGACATGAAGAGGACAGGTGATGGGGGTGGCCGTGTATTGGCCCACCGTGCCTATACTCGACTCTTGCTTTTGCTCCAACCCTGGCTAACTAATCCCTTAGACGAGTCATGCAACGATTATAATAGCTGCCTCTTCGCTTTGTTTGCTTTCCGAAGGACTTTGATTGTTATATTGCCAAAACAACGCTCAAAGGAACGACTGCAGATGGGAAGACAGGTAACCAGATACACACAGGAACGCAATATGTACACTTTAATTTGATTCGCAGGTTGGGGGTGGGGGTTTTTTTTTATACAAGATAGGATCATCATCGCACCTCTAAATCTCAGTAGAAGGGAAAGCATCTTCGCCAACTAATTGAGTACCCCACTTCAATTAGAAAAAGCGTAGAATAATAAGCAGAAAAATCAAACATGAAGGGACAAAAAAGGTTTTCTTTAGTTGGCCTCTTTTTGACTCTAGGCGGTGGTTTTTCCTCCTTTTTTGACCTTCTCTTTAGGGGTTTCAGGTTCATGCTTGAACTTTGAAGAACTCCACTCGAGTGTCGCTCGTCATGCTAGATACCCAATTCAGCAGGAGCAGGCGGATGGTTTCTTCAAGTCGCTGACATCTTCCAAATCACATCCTGAGCCTGAAGATACAATATGAATCTTCTTGGACGACCCTGTATACAAAGCCGCACTACTCGTGCCATTAAGGTTGTTCCCAATTAGATCCCCACCACCACATTCCAGTGCTTTCCTCTTAGCAACGACACCATGGATCTCCTCCAGTAGCCTCAGGAACGCGGCGTCCACGTTGTCGCCGCTGAGCGCGGAGGTCTCTGAGAAGAAGAGGCCTTGGTCCTGCGCGAAGTCCACCGCATTCTCTGTAGGGACTGCCCTCGTGTCCCCGGCGAGGTCGACCTTGTTGCCGATAAGCATGATCACTATGGAGTGGTTCGCGTGGGCCCGGAGCTCCTCGACCCACTTGGCCACATGATCGAAGCTCTGCCTCTTGGTGATGTCGTACACCAGCATGGCCCCTAGTGCTCCTCGGTAGTATGCGCTCGTCACTGCCCTGTATCTGCAGCAATTGATTGTTTAACTTTAACGGCTCAAACTCTGTCCATAATAGACTAGACGAGTGTAGGTAAGAGTTTATAGAAAGAGAGGGGGACCTTTCTTGGCCGGCAGTGTCCCAGATCTGGGCCTTGATGACTTTTCCGGCAATGGAAACTGTTCGGGTCTGGAACTCGACGCCGATGGTGGACTTGGAGTCGAAGCGGAACTCGTTCTTGGCGAACCTGGAGAGCAGCTGGGTCTTCCCCACAGCGGAGTCGCCGATCACCACCACCTTGAACACGTAGTCGATCCTATCGTGGCCGTTCTCTCCATAGCTCTCCGTGTCGATCCCATTTATTTCTTCCCCCATCTTCTTCGCTTCCACAAAATGGTACCAGCTACAAGAGGATGACCAACAAGAATGTTGACTCTCCAGCTAGCTAGTACTATAATGCTGGGTTCGGTTTGATTTTTAGTTAGTTGCCTTTGGTCGCGGTGTTAAGTGGGGGCAAGTAGAGATTGAGAGAGAGAGAGGTTACAGAGGTTAATGGGTTCAAAGATGAGAAAAAGAAAAGACACAGCAAGGACCTGAAAGGAAAGAGCAAGGTTGCAGGGCCATCAGTTAAGTGACAAACTTGGCGTTGCCTCCCTTTACCCCTTTCTTTTCAGTGCTTTCGGTACGGAGGACGTACCCTGGCATTATTGCGTATATACAGTGACTTGTGTTGGACTGGCAGACGAATCAGCAATGTCTCTGCTCCTTTCACGACCGAGGTCTTCTCTCCCAAAATTAAAATATAAAGGGGGGGGACATTGTTGTCATGTTGACTAAAGTATGCCGATATTCTTTACTTAGAAAAGCAAATGAGCTGAGCAGAGCAGGGTCGTTGCCTGTGGTAGATTGAAATAATGTGTTTTAGGTTTAAAACTCAGGGCGATAAACTGCAAGAGGGGAGACATCAATGACTATAGTGCCCTTTTGCCTGGCGGGTTGACCTAACTTCCGAGTTGGCATTGATTATTTTGCAGCAGACATCTCATTCTCCCCGCGCATAATTGCCATGCGTGTACGAAGGATTTTCTTTAATGTGGAAAGGCATCTTTGATCTATGACATTAGTTGGGCGCTGACGCTGGTTAAAATATGTCATGCACGATAAGAAAAGGTTTCTGTGGCTGTGGATGAACAGAGCAGTGAAGGACCAGTGCGTATGGGATACAGGAGCTCCTCGGAATACAAGGGAAGCTTCAAAATTGCAACATTTTATCTTTTTATATGTTGGCACCGACAGTTGCTCAGGGTACCATGATGTTCCTTGCTTGCATGGAAAGTGTCAATCCGAAGGGAGCGAGGCCCGCCAAATTTGGACAGAAGTTGCTGTCAACCACACTATGGACACGTTCATCAGTACAGCCCAAGCTCCTGAAACTGGGTCGTGTCTTGGATTTGCAAATCAAATGTGGGTCGTGTTTCGTGAAGTGAATCGTACGTCCCCCACACCATTTTACCGTGTGGGATACACATTGATCCTCTTCTAGTTAAGTATCCTCTTCTAGTTAAGTAGATCCTCCGACACTTTTGTGCATATCCCAATATATGTTCCTCTCACGTTTTCAGAGTTTTTTAAGCACCATAAATTGTGCTGCAACATATGATTTATACTGTAATTTGTCTAGTCCATGATTCTTTCATTATTTCAATGACATGTTGTGATCAGACTCGGGTCTGCCATTCAATTTTTGACATGGAGGCGTCTAGTGAACTTCGTATTACGAAACGTTGACGTGAAACAACCAGTTCAATAAAAATGAACGTTCTTGTTAACCAGACTAAATGGTGAGAAATGGATTTTTTACAAAATGAAAGACCCTATCATCCATGTCAAGATAAAGCCTATCGGATGTTTAACCACAAATCATAATCATTTCAATTGAATGTTTTCATCGTGGATACACCAAATAACAAATACCCTAAAGTAGAATTGGCCGCTGGCTATGATTCCTTTTCTTTTATCGTGACTACTTGGGTTTGTCGCAACCCTCCTTGTGGCTCATTGTCACGCCCCGCGCCCTGATCAACCCGAGCCTCGGGCGCACGACAGTCGCCATGGTCATTTAATTGCGACGACTCAGGAGGCGTCGCCGACCCATCGTATATCTAACGAATAAGCACGTGTGGAAGCGAATTCTAAATCACCCAACCAACAACAACAACAATAGGGATAGCATAGCAAACACAATCACCAAAAGCATGCTTGATATAAATATACATCGATAACAATCGGACGTTAGCAAAATACAAACCCGCTATTACGGGCATTTTTCCGATTCAAACAAAAGGCGTTGGGGTTAAATCTAATTCCTCTATCCACGAGGGCGAACTCAAAAAGAACACCTTGTCGACTCAAATGGTCGTCGTGTACTCCTGGTACACGATGTCGGTTCCCGGTGCCACGTACTCGACAACCTCCACATCTTGGTCCATGGGGATACCAAAATGCACAATCCGAGTATCCATACTAGGGGCCTGAAAAGGGGTGAACAACGACAAATGAGTAAAACTCAATAAGTAGAACCTCTAAGCCTTGAGTAGGAAGGTACCTCGTCTCGGAAACATGCCCAACACAATCCAATAGTCACACGCAAATACTTACCTTACGTCAGCACATACAATTCACTCAAATAATCACACGTGAACAACCGCAATCATTCTTCATGCCAAATTGCACACACTTCACTTATAAACCTTCTTTGTAAAGATGGACACACGCAAGATGGCATACAACGTCGGTTTTCTCATAACCCTATAATTATGAGACAACACGAGGCTTGTATTGCACCAAACAATCACATGAGTACATAGTAATCAAGAACACTTCATATCACGTAATTATTGACAATGCATCCACACGTGTTCCAATTATTACGACCGCTCTGGGCCACAACCAACACTCGCGTTGGTGGTCATCCGGCGTAACCGGGCATCGTCCCACCCCATCGGGCACGGCATCATCTCGACCTCACTCAAAGATGGCATTCAGTTAAGAGCATCGTTCCGACTTCCATCGCGAACAGCAACCGAAATCCATCGGGCATCATCCCTCGCAATCATACAAGTACGGAACCATTAATGTGATCAAGCAAGCATATCAATCACTCAAGCCAATTATTATCTTCCACTTACGCTAATGCAAGAGTGTTTCATGCTCACGCACTTAAAACATCCAAATTCCACACATATAAAAATGTACTAAAGTAATCACACGTAAAGAAAATAGTGCATCTTTCAAATTGGGTAAATTTGGGCAACTTTGCACAGTAACCAAAATCCCTTCAAAATAAATAGTAAATGAACTCCAAATATTCTAGATTTTGAATATGTCACAGAAAACACCTTGATAAACATTTCTTATGAGGAGCATATAACCTAGTTCAATCTTTAATCATGTGTTTTTATCACTCAAAATCAGACCGAAATCAGCTTGTTCTAACAGACTACTCGTTCCTCAAAATATATCTATTTCAGTACCCAAATCACCTTGAAAAGCCTCAAAATTTTTATATGTCATAGACAGAAAAGTCCTTAACAACTTTTGTGAAGTAATCTTTTTGAAAATAGATCTGGAAAAAGTTATAAAAATTTTGAAAAGACAAGAAGATCAGAGAAACAGCATTTCAGGTTAGTTTAAACATGGTTTGAAGATGAGCTTTCGTGCGACCCAAATAAACTCCAAAAATTTCAGATTTAAAATATGTTAAACTTCAAGATGTGAAAAACAACTTTTGTGAAGAACATAACTTCAAATTCGGCCCACAAGAGTCTCTACAAAAATAGTAAACCGAAGAGATACAGTAACAACAAATCCGAGTTTCAAACCAAACTTCAACCCTTCAAGCTCTAATTGATACCCACGAATCTTCAATCCACAAAACTCATTCCAAAAGGTCTAAACCAACATGCAACAGCCACTTGAACATCAAGAACACACATGATTGAACAAACTCAAACAAGACTAAACTTAAGTCCGATCTGCATAGAATAGCACCCTAGCCAAGGTATAGAGAAATCACTTACTAAACCGTTCAAACTACGAGTGTCAACATGGCACAGATGACACGGCGGCGAGCGGTGAGTGGCTCGGCAAGGCGCGGCACGGACGGCACGACGGTGACAATGAGGATGGCAGCTCAGCAGCACGGATGGCTAAGCGTGGCGCGTGGTGGACAGACGGCAGTGATGGTGGCCGATGATGGTGGAGGCGTGAGAGAGGGAGAGAAGGGAGGGAGAGGAAGAGAGCAATGAGAGAAATGAGAGTGAGTGAGAGTGAGTGAGAATGGGAGAAATGAGAGATAACCCTTTAAGTGTTCTTGCAAGGGAGAGAGAGAGAGAGACCAATAATTCACTTGCACTTAATGGATCTAAGCTTAGGCTAGCCTAGCCTTTCCATGATTTACTCCCAACCAAGCAAACTTATGGACAATAAGCAAATTAGAAAATATCTCTATCAAGTCTCACCCCTATTGTATTCATACCTACTAGAATTAGGCACATGCAAGGTTAGGTACATGCAAGAAGCTAGGGGAAATCAATTCTAGAAGCTAATCAAGTGGGCACTCTTCTCCTTCCTTCCCCAAAAGTGGCGCCCAAGCTACTAGGATAAGACCAAAAATTTGTCTCTTCTCCATCAAGGCGTCTAAAATGTGAATTTAAATGAAAACTATAGGTTAATCAATCATAGGACACCAATCATGCACATTACATATTAATGGGCACTATTCTAAAAATCAATCAAGGTTCAATGTGACAAGATAGCCTTACCCTGTTGATTGGCACCTAAACGAGACTGAATAATTCCAATAATGCGTAATTAATCGGTATAGGATTGAGGATGTCACACTCATCTTAAGGGTAGTTGGTTTAGCAGTATGTTGAATGGGAACGGGCGATCACTCTGTTCAAAGTGCTCGTGCTCGTGCTCGTTCTCGTTCAGCACGGGTTCTCCCAAATTCTAACTGATCCCGACATTCGAGAGATTCATTTGATTAAAGAAAAAAAATTTCCCTATATAGAGTCGCCGCTAACCTATTTGGAACTGGTTAGGAGCCAAGTGATATGTGAGAGGACACTTCACTTTCTGCAACCAAAGATTTTAAAGTCGAGGACCTTATTATGCTAATTGTCTAATTAATGTCCTTTCAGTACTGAATCTCAGTCTTAGGAAATGATTTTCATACCATCTTCATCCATTTTATCATCCTATGCCACTAAACAATGTCCATGCATGGGTATGCAATTAGATAAGTAAACAACCACAATCAAGAGGATAAATGTAAAGTTCGAGAAAGTAAACCCGATACTAGTCGGGTAATATATATACATGGCCTCGTTATTGAGCCCCGAACATGAACCCCCATGAGCTAAATTCGAAAATAAATCTTAGTCTAATTCTCGACCAAAAAGAACTATCTAATAAAATATAATTACTAAGTACAACTAAAGAAAACATTCATTAACAGAAAATAAAACCGAGAACACGAGAATGGATTGACAGCAACCCAGCATATTGAACTCTCATAGTCGTCAGAACACTTCAAATTCAAGTTTGGCCATGACCGACCAGCAAGCATACGACATATACAGCCACCTTTTGCCTATGAAAACAATGCCTAATCATGCTAAAACGATTTAAGAAGTCATTAACATACAAACGCCTCATCACGGGCAAATGCAACAACACTCAAATGGAATATCATGAAAATGTTGTTTCCGGAGGGAGCGAGGCCCGCCAAATTGGGGCAAAAGTTGCTGTCAACAACACTACGGACACTGTCATCAATACAGCCCAAGCTCCAGAAACCGGGCCATGGCTTGCGTTCGTAATGGAGATCGCAATTCGTGAAGTGAATTGTACGTCCTTGACTGTGCTGCAACATGTAGTGTATGTTGTAATCTGCCAAGTCCGTGATTCTTCTATCATTTCAATGACATGATGTGATTAGTAAACATATTAAAGGGATCCATTGTCACTTAGTGTACGATTTTTTTCTTTTTTAGACTCGGGAAAGTTTTTTATATGGAAGCATCTAGTGAACTCCACATTATGATCCTATCTTGGGGTTGACTTACGAGGCAGTTTTTTGGTGGTTTTAACGAAAGAGTCCAATTCGTGGTACAAGATGACAAAACTCACTCACAACATGCACCTAGAAATGAAACTCAACCGCAAAATGCACCTAGGGGACTCCGGCTGCGTTTAAGAAGGCTTTTGGGGAATGCCTTTAGAAAAAAGCAAAGGTCTTTAGTTTAAAGAATTTTGATAAAATGCAAAAATTATTTGATAAATTATAATTAAAAAGTGCCTTGAAAAGCAACTTTAGGGAAATGCTGTTTGATAAATATATATTTGGAAAGTTATTTGGTATGACCAATTTAAGTTTTTTGATTTTAATTTATTTAAAATTTAAAAAAAAAAACCAATTTTATATTTTCGCATTGAGAGTAACATAAAAGAAATATATTAACAAACATATATATATATATATATATATATATATATATAAAATATCACATCAAAGTAGATCGTTCTAGATCTTTCTCAATTAAAAAGAGTAATTTCATTATACTAAACATGATCACACGTCCCGAGCAAAGAAATATGTTATCCTTAAATATTACATGGACATGCCTGGACATTCCAATAAAATATGCATTTAAACTAGTTGTCATTTCGGCCAACATTCAAAGAGTCCAAAGTGATAGCAACCACCAACATTCTCATGTCATTATCTACTGGAAATGGATGCAAAGAACAAACCACATTTGTGCATTAATCAGTGAGCAACACCATAAGTGTTTAACATACATCAACTCATCGGTTTGAAAAAAAAAAACCCCACATTCTCTAGTACAATTCCCGTATGTCATGGGAGCAATCCCTCCCACAAAAAGCAACGACCAAGTAGAAACCAACATCGTTGTTTCAGCAATGGTCACTCAGTATGACCATATCTTCTATTGGTCTCTCCCTTTTTGTCAATCTCAAGACTTAAACTTGCACATTGTTGTCTCATGTTCACCACATGCTCAGTCCTTTCCAGCAACATACCGTGTTGAACTATTGCTCAATGATACTCAGCTTGTTTTCCACCATTTCTACTCTCTAAGCCATCAATTCCTTCTCAAACTTCAATTAGGAAATCATCTCTTTGTCGCCAAATGTGGAGTTGAATCCAGGCGAAACAGCCATAGTCATCATCCTAAAATAGTCATATGGTGATGGCAAATAACAAGTTCAATACAATGATGTCAAAAAGGTGATATTGTACAGGAATGCAGCATGCAAATTTTTTTAAAAAAGACAAGATGAGACTTGAGCACAGAACTATGACCGCAAATAAGTTCAGACCTACAGCAATAAAATGTGAAAATGGCCAAATAAGTAACTCCGAGAACCCATTTGACCAAAACACCAACCCCAACCTCATCTCCATCTCAACAAAACCAAGAACAAGAACAAGAACAAGACCAACATTGAAGAAACACAAGATCCTCAACTCAAAATTCATACTGCTGATGTAGCATCAACAAATGATGCAGTTCCAGTGGAGAACCTGAGGTAATCAGTGAAGAGAATTACACTTGGAGCCCCGACAAATGTTTTGGAAGAAAATAAATCAAACTATAAATAATTTCTTTTCGACAATCTTCCACTACCAAATGTAAAAAGGCTTCCTTCTTGCAGTATTTTCACAGTGTATCAATGGTCCTAAAACTCAAAATATTTCACTTAAAAAGCAATATATGATTGGAACACCGGTCAACTAATTTCCATATCCTAATGCGCAAAATCTCAAGACACGAAGCGATCAAAAGAACATATCATCATCATCATCATTTCAGTAAGCTTAACAAAGATATTCATGAGACATTACCAAAGGATTCAGTTCCTCCCTTCTAAAATCCTCTTTTTCCAGCAAATTGAAGGTAATTCAAAGTATTTCTACTGCGACAAAGAAAAAAAAAACGTATTTCTACGCTAAACAAGCAATTATTGACATTTCGCCAGAGACCAACTGCAGCAAAACAAATGAACAAATCACTCAACTCAATTCAATCATCAAAACACAAAGTCCTGGACACCCCCAAGCCTCGCTAATCAAAGAAATTAAAGAAATTAAGACTCATCCCATTCCCACATAACAATTCCCAACTTTCGCACAATATCTGCAAGCCAAATCAGCCGGAAATTCATTACTCGAGTAGTAATATTTCAATCAAGCACAACATCGAAACAACAATTCACGAAATCACGATGTGCTTAAGAATCACAACTAAAAAAAGCACAATGAGAAGGAATCGAAGCAAAAGAATTTGGATTCGTGGTGAGACGAACAATTGGGTTTTGACCTTACCAAAAAAAAAAACAATTGGATTTTGAGCGAAGAGAGAGGCGAGCAACTAGGTTTTGAGCAAAGAGAGAGGCCACCACGAGAGAAGCGAGCGACTGCTGAGCGAAGACAGAGGCGACCAGAGTTCTTTCCTCGAAGAAGCAGAGAGAGGCGAGCGTGAGCGAAGAGGAGAGACGACCAAACATGTTCAATGAAACAGATGATCCGATTTTTTACAGACCAATTCAAAACACAACACCACGAAAATAAGCACCTTTTTCAGAACAAAAAACCAACCATTCACGCCGCCGCATCAAAAAGGAATCGACCCACGAAAGAAACAAGAAAAGGGTTCATCGAGAGCACGAAAAAGAACAAAACTTCGAGCTCGACGAATCCTACAAAAGCAATTCCAACTCACTATAGAGTGTCGGGAGGACCAATTATGGAGACGCTTCACTCGAACACGTTGGTCTCGTCCACCAACCCCGCGGAGAACCCATCCACCGGGTCTCTGCAAAGATGTGCAGCCGATCACCGACACCCACACGATCATCGACTGCGAGAAAAGAACAGTGAAGAAACCCTAAAAAAGGAAGGCAAAGTCAGGGTCAGAATCGGCCCTCGGAGCTGCTTCTGGAGGAGAAAACTGGCTTGATTCGAAGCTATCAAACTGCCGATTATTAAGGGAGGTGGGAGTCTTCGTTGAGTGAGGGAGACGGAGGGAGCAGCTGCTTGTTGATCTAAGGGTTTCTAATTTTACAAAAGGCTAAAAGTTGGAATTTTAATAAATATTTGAGGGCAAAAAGGCAACTAAAAGGGTTTACTTATACATAGGAGCTGCATGCCGACAAAGCTGAAAAGCACAAGGCACCTTCCCACCTGCCTTGGGCTCTCAGCCTTTCTCAAGGCTGACTTTTTCTCTAAGAGGTGAGTTCTAAAAATTTTACCAAACACTCAATATTTGGCTCAAGGAGGTTTTGACGCTCAAAGGCACTTGGGGAAGTCATTCCCAAACGTAGCCTTTATCCTCTTAATTTGCATCCTCACCTCTCAGCTCTCCCTTCTGAGTTTCCAAATGGAGACATAGTCGAGCTGCGTCTCCTCCACCCTCCACCTGAACAAGCTCCCCCCCCCCTCCTTCCTTCCTTCCTCCTCCTCCTCCTCCTCCTCCTCTCATCACCTCCACTTCATCTCCCACCGACCCCCCACCCACCACCACCACAACTGCCCCTAATTTTCTCTCTTTTTCATCCCTTCACTCTTCCTCACCCTCTAATTCCCTTTACAGCATTAGCGGCATCACTGACAATCACACATCATCTCCTGTCACGGTCCACAGAAAAGCCGCGACTGGCTATGCCGCAGCTCTCATAGATGCGGCTCAATGCAACCACTCCCTCGGACAAGTCGAGTCCGATGTCCACAGGTTGTCCCTATTCCTCCGGTCCGTGCAGCTTAAAGAAATCTTTAGCAACCCTTTTGCGAGCCATGCTGACAAAGAAAAGATTCTCGAGGAAATATCGAAGAAAGCGAGGTTCCACAGGCACCTGGTTGCCCTATTGAAGATGTTCGTACGCAAAAACCAAGTCGAAATGGTTAGTGAGGTGTTGGAGGAATTCAAGAGGATCTACCGTGACATGATGGGTGGATCAGGAGCAGTGTTATCATCGCAGGCGATGAAAAGGGTCGATGCCGCCAGTGTAAGGAGATCATTCACAGTTGATGAGACATCGGTTTCTTTTGCCATGTGATGGTATATGTTGTCTATTTGTGTTGGTTTGACACTTCCCTTCACAACTTTGTATTTTAATATTTAAATCGATTATGTCAATTTAGAACATCATGAATGCTTGGGGACAATTACCTCATCAACTATCCAATAATCAATCAAAATGCATGCTCAATCACATTCCACAGCCTAGATTTTATCATGAATTTGTCTAAAGCTGATGTTAATAATTCGAACACGTGCGGAATTCAAGAGGAAACAACAATTGTACTAACTCATTTGGGAGATTTTTTAAACAGTTCTTGTGTGAATTAAGATTCATTGATTTCTTACAACAGCAAAAGTGAAAAGAGATCAATCTGTCCGCTAATGAATAAGATGAAGAATCTGGAAATGTTTGTTTCCCACTATTTTGTTTTAGCAGCTCGGTATCCCTTCTTGCCTAGCTTTGCATGAGCAGTGGGTTTGAGAATTTTATGTTGAATGCATTGAGCACTCTACGTTAAGGGGGACAAAAGATGTCAACTGTGTACCTTGGGGCGCTTACCAAAAAACATAAACAAAAAGCACTATATAATTGTACTTTGGGCAGCATTACCCGGAATAATGACATTCAAAGGGTTCTTTTTCAAAAGACAAAATCCCCAAAGAACAACATCAATCAGAACTCTTGAAGTTCACATTCAAAACCTGTGGCCTGTTTTCGAATCTTCATTGCAGCTGAAATACCCGCAACATAGCATAAATTTCACTCTATTTTACATGTGACTTATCTTCGACTATAAACTTGTGGATTTCTCCTCCCTCTTGAATGATACTATATCCGGCTGCCTTCATCATATTTTCTCCCTTCATCATCTTCTTTAATTTTGCGACTCCATCCCATCGGCCTACCGATGCATAAACGTTAGATAGGATGACATAATTTCCTGGGTTCCATGGCTCGAGCTCGATGAGGGACTCTGCTGCCTCCTCGGCAAATTCAACGTTGCCATGGAAACTGCAGGCCCCTAAAAAAGCACCCCATATCACAGAATCCGGCTTCATAGGCATACTTCGGATAAGATCACGAGCTTCTTGCAACTTGCCAGCACGACCTAGAAGATCGACCATGCAACCGTAGTGCTCCAGTTTCGGAGAAATCCCATAATCGCTTCCCATCGACTTAAACAGCCGTCTGCCTTCTGCAACCAAGCCTCCATGGGTGCATGACAGGAGAAGTCCCACAAATGTGATGTCATCTGGTATGGCTCCTTCACTCTAGTGCCACAATAAATTTAGGGACAGCAAACGTATTAACAGGAAATCTGGACCTCAATACCCCTCATGAAAACAGAAGAAAATAGTGCGGAGGGCAAAACTTACCAGCATCTGGTCATAGAGCTCAAGAACCTCACTGCACTTTCCGTGGGAAGCCAAGCCAGTGATCATGGTATTCCAGGAGCACAAGCCCCTTCTGCTTCCAATCTCATCGAACACCCGCCTCGCAGCATCAATTTTACCGCATTTCGCGTACATTGCCAATAAAGCATTACATACATAAATGTTCTTGAAAAAACCATTTCCCCTCGCATATGTTTCGATCCTTTCCCCAATCTCCAGAGCGCCAAGATTCGCGCAAGCAGGGAGAACACTAGCTACGGTAACTTCATTCGGTCTAAAGCCTCCCTCTTCCATCTCCAGAAACATCTTCAGGGCATCCGCACTGTGCCCGTTTTGGGAGTAACCCGATATGATGGACGTCCACGAGATGACATTCTTACAGGGCATCGACCTGAACAACTGCAAGGCTTCCACCATGTACCCACGTCTTGCGTAGCCGGAAACGATGGAGTTCCAGATGGGCGTATCTCTTAAGGGCGTTTCGTCGAACACCTGGCGAGCCGATCCCAGCTCGCCGAGCTTTTAGCATACATGTCGATCAAAGCCGTCAGTGCGAAGACATCGAAGTCGAAACCAAGACCTGAGGAAATGGGTATGGAGCATCATGCCAGGGAGAGGCGAGGAAAGGGAAGCGGAGGCGGCGAAGAGGAAAGTGAAAGAGTGCTGGTTGGGAGGACAGCCGCGGAGGCACATTCGGGAGTAGAGGCGGAGGCATGGGAGGGGTTGGCGGAGAGAGGAGTAGGCCTGGATGACCTTGTTGAAGAGGAAGAGGGTTGGGTTGGGAGTGTGGTCCAAGAGGCGGTGGGCGTAGGAGATGTTTGGGATCTCAAGGAGATCGGCGATGAGAAGTTTGGTGTTGTCTATGCCGTTCCGGAGCGTGTAGGCATGGATTTGTTGTTCATAGGATGTCGTTAATGATCGCGTGATAATACAAATCCACCCAAAAGAGACCATGGGAACTTGCGGAACAGTTCGACCAAAAAAAAAAAAGACTTGCGGAGCAGCTCTATATATAGCTAATAACAAGCTTTGCCTAGCACCGTCATTTGGAGCCACTCTTTGCTAGGCCTTGATCGGATCCTCTTGATTTGCTCTTGATTAAAAACATTTTGCCTATTCAGTAAACAATTTGGTTCATTCATGTTCCCACCCCTGGGAAAAAACTAACAGCTTCCGTTCTAATTCAAAAATTAAATAAAATGATGATAAAAGACTTTTATTGGATTGAAACGACACAAGGATCACCCATGCTTTCCCCGATTAACACAAAAGCTCCCTTATTTATACGAGAGCCCCTCTAATTACAACTACTAATCTATCTCTTATTTAACGGTAAAGTTGATTGCTCATAAGTTAATCCCACCTACCAATCTAATGGGGGGATAGTCACTCCCACCCAGAGTCAATCCTCATCTCAAACAATCTGATAATAAAAGATACATCTCGGTGGATATCGATTCTCCGTCTCACGATCCAATGGCGAAGATCAAGTCCCACTCACTGATCCGATGGTTTCTATCTTTTCGGGTTGATAACTTGGCAATCGATCTGTGATACACGCCCATAGTTTTACTTTGAACAAGATCAATTCTGGACGCAACATAGTGCTTGCTTCGATAATTTTGTATAAAGAAATTGCTTTAGTCAACAAGATAATCGCCTTAATTTCCTAAACAATTCTTGGGTTCGAATTAATAATGTTGGAACTGTCTGAAAAAGCTCCCAACTCACAATACCCATCCATCAAAGTAGTACACCCAATGCAGCAGTCAAGAGAATGGAAATTACCTCCCCAACATATGAGGAAATCATAGAACTGCACATGTTTCGGTTATTTGCCAAATGCAAAAACGGTCCTTTTGTAAAACTTTTTGGCATACATACATACATACATACATACATACGTATATATATATGGGCCTAATTCCAAAAAAAATCTCAAACTTTACACTTTGTCCGAATTATACCCTGAACTTTTTTTTTGTCTAAAAAAAAACTTCAAACTTTTCTCCGAGTCCCAAATCTACCCTACCGTTATAACTCCATCCAATTAACGTCAGAAAAAAAAAAAAAAACAGAACCAGCAGTTGCGGCGCGACCAAACCTTCACCGGTGGCCGCCGCCACAGCCGCCGGGAAGGAGCGGCGGCCCTCACCTAGGCCTTCCCGAAGGCCGGCGACCCTCGCGGCGACTCGCCCTGGGCGGCGAGGGTCGCCGCCTTCGGAAGGCCCAGCGAGGCCGCCGACACAAGGCGAGGCCTCGCCCGGGTCGCCCACTGGGCTAGGCCTCGCCCTGGGCCTTCCCGAGGCCGGCGACCCTCGCCGCCCGGGCGAGTCGCCGGCGAGGGTCCGGCCCCGATCCGGGAGGGCGCGACCTCGCCCCGATCGGGGGCCGCAGCCTCGCGGCGACTCGCCCGGGCCGGGAGAGGGTCGCCGGCCTTCGGGAAGGCCTGTGCGAGGGCCGCCGCTCCTTCCCGGCGGCCGTGGCGGCGGCCACCGTTGAAGGCTTGGCCACGCCGTGCACCTGCCTGGTTCTGTTTTTTTTTTTTTTTTTCCGACGTTAATTGGACGAGCTATAAACTAGAGTGGTAGATTTGGGACTCGGAGAAAAGTTTGAGGTTTTTCTTGAGACAAAAAAAGGTTCAAGGTATCATTGGGACAAAGCGTAAAGTTTGGGGTTTTTTTTGGAATTAGGCTATATATATATATATATATATATATATATATATATATATATATATATATATATATATGTATGTATGACTTTTTGAAAAGGAAAAGGGGTTGCTGCTGCAGTTCTAACTTTACCCTTGTTTTTGAAACCCCAAAAGCCCTCCTTCTGTACTCGTCAAAATCCAATCGACCACCACCATCCTCTCACCCTCGTCGCTGTCGTTGACGATGGCAACGCCGAGATCGGCGATCAAGCGGCCGGAGCCTGAACCTCGTCCTCATTCACGTCCTCCCTCGCGAGCCCCATCTCGGCCTGCGAGTAGCCGTCGCCGAACACCCTCCTCGTCACAATCGACGCCGACAATGACAAAGCCGAGATCGGCGATCAACCGGCCTGAACCTCGTCTTCCTTGGCGTCCACCCTCGCAATCCCCATCTCGTCCTGTGAGTAGCCGTCGCCAACCACCCTCCTCGTCACCCTCGTCGCTGTCGATGGTCAAGCGGCCGGAGCCTAATCCTCATCCTCGGCGTCCTCCCTCGCAATCCCCATCTTGGCCAGCGAGTAGCCGTCGCCGACCACCCTCATCGTCACCCTCGTCGCTGTCAATGGCAACGCCGAGATCGGCGATCAAGCGGTCAGAGCCTGAACCTCATCCTCGGCGTGGAGTCCCACCTCGGCCTGGAATTAGCCATAGCAGACCACCCTCCTCCAAAAGTTTACCCGAGGATATCATCATCGAGTTGTTATCGAGGCTACCGGTCAAGTCCTTGATGCGATTCAAATGCGTCTGTAAAGGATGGCGGTCTCTAATTTCCGACTCAGGCTTCGCCAAGTGGCATCTGCAAAGGCTAAAGGCAGGAGATATTATTTCTAGCCAGAGAATCCTCAAGACTTATCCCATCGAGACCCTGGACTACGAAGCGTTGGACGGCGGTCGGTCGATGATAAAGTTTCGTAATCCAAGAATTGACGATCGTACATGGGATCCCATCCTTGTGGGGTCCTGCGATGGTTTGGTCTGTTTAGCTGTCATCGGCGGATTTATCCTGTACAACCCGACCACCGAGCAGTTAAGGAAAATCCCCATTTCTGATCTTTTTCAAGAAGGGGAGTTCTTTAATGGATTCGGATACGACCCTGCATCTGATGACTATAAAGTGGTAGTAGGTGAGGGTGACTATAAAGTGGTAGATGGTTCTAAAATATGTCAGGTGGAGATATTTTCGCTCAAGTCTGGTTCTTGGAGAAGGATACAAGTCCAGCAAGAAAGCCGCCTCGCCCGTGATCACCAAGGAGTTTATTGGAAGGGGGCCTTACACTGGTGCGGGATTGACGAGAGGAGAAACAAGAGAGAGACTGTGATTATGTCATTTGATTTGTCGGAAGAGAAATTCTGCCAGGTGCTTCCGGTCCCTGAATGGAATGGGGACATAACTTTTCAAGGACTTGAGATTCACGGGGCCAATCTGTTAATGTACACTTCGAATGCCAACTGGTTCATGGCTTGGATAACAGATGAGCATGGGAGAGGAGGACCATGGACCAAATTGTTCAGCTTTTCGACTAAAGGCATACCCGGTGCTTATTTGCGGATCCCTATCGCTTTTACAAGGAGTGGAAAAATCATTTTCCAAGTCGATTTTTTTGGCACTATTCTGTTCAATCCAGAGGATGGTACTTATAAGGATTCTCCCATCGAGAGGGCCAAACTTGCTATCTATGTGGAAACTCTCGTTTCACCCTATCTCGGCTGTGAGGCATCAAGAATCTAGAGCTTTCAAGAGTTGTTTTAGTGGATTTGGTTTAACCGTTGTTGTTGGAGTTTCCTTTTTTGGGAGATATGGCTATCTTGAGCTGATCTTGTTGAATTTGAAGAAGAAAAAAGATATCGTCTGAGAATATTCTGAGATCTGGTCATTCATTAGTAGCTTCATCATTGTGCTTTCAGTACTCTGTCCTCTCAGATGTTTGGTTAGATGTCTGCTCGATGAATGGCGATTCAATCATCTCTGTTTTGCTAGAATAATCACTTCACTAGCTGACGGTACGTGCAATCTGAACTTGTGTTATTTCACCAACCATTTACTGGGTCTTGTTATGTAGTTGACATTCAACTATAGTCATGTGAATGTTAAAGCTTATGCTGTTTTGTCTTCTCTTATCGAGAACAGCATCCTCAAAATTCTGGACTTTAATCGTGGATTTGCTTTCATTTTGCACTGCAACAACATATGTGCTGACTGTTCAAGGCAAAAAGTGGCAAGTTCTATTTTCAAGCTGGATGGCAGTCCCCCTACTGTCACATGGGCTGATCCAAAGAGTGCACCCGATCACTCTGCTGCATCTCAGGTATCTGTAAATGAAACTATGGAACTAACTCATCTTTTTAATGCTACAGCATCCATCACTGGCATAGTATTCATTTTTTTATCTTGCATTTTTTAGTACATTGTGGTTTTATCTTTTGGCTCTGGAACGCTGTTATATCGACATTGATGTGAATACTCATGATATTTGAAGAGTCTCAAGACAAACAACGGGAATTGCTGACCAGTATTGCATCTTTGGCATGTGAGCGAAAATTCTTAGGTAAGAAGTTATTAGGACATGATGCCTTTGCCAGTTCTTTGTAGGATACAAGCATATTCAGCACCTTCATAATGAGATATCTTCTCATCCTGTTCATGTTTGTATGCTTGTCTTCCATATGATGATTGCTATCCTGACAGTGCACACAATCATGTGCAGTTTTTTGAGGTTCTTCTCACCCTCTGATCATTTAGAATGAGTATTACCTCTTTAAAAAATGCTGGGTGTGGAGGAGCAGTCTTTGCTCTGAGTTCTGAAGGTGCGTGTTATCTGGCATCTACGAGTTTTAGTTTTTTTTTTTTTTTTTGAACTAATGAGGATCTATCATTTATGGGTATCAAATGTTTTTCCATCAATAGAATGACTTGTACTCACAACTGAAATTGCTAGGTAAAATGAACAATTGCACCCCAGGCAATAGTGAAAAGCAACCGCTAAATGAGCAATGACTTTCATCCTAACTTAATTATCACATTTCTAACCTTTAGAGGCAAAAATGATAAATATGATGAGAGATTCATTATATGACAAAAAAAAATGGATTTCTATTCTTTTTACTTTCCAAATTAAGTTGTTGTAGGTCACTGATAATTGACAAGACCACAAGGACTAAGAAATGTGCGTCATTGTGAAAATATTGTAACAGTGTTGCATTCATTTATCAGAGTAACTTTAACCAAAAGGAATTGCCTCCCAACTCCACCAAAGATTGCTTTATTTCAACCTTTTGATCATCCAACAACTTCCAATGCCTTTTCCTGATTTTCAATACACAAACCAGTTTCAAGAATGCCATTCTTAAGACCCTGTGAGGAGCAGTAATTGTAATTCACAAGGCACGACTGACCATATAAGTAATGTGAGAATGATGGGCGTTAGGTACAACTAATTGACCTCATTGGAATATGACTGGGGATGAGCGGTTCTAGGGTCGGTCTAGGTTCCACCTAGAACCTACTTGTCGGAACCGGTTCCCAAGTTTTTGAAACATGAAAGTTACCCTGCATACTCTGAAACCTGGAATCTACCCTGTCACAAGTTCCAGGGTCAGTTCCAGAGTCTATCCAAGTTTCACTTGTATTATTAATTGAACTATTGCTGTGAATCATCACATCTAATGACCACCATAGAAAAACATAAAGACTTGTTTTAGGTTCCACTCGGAACCTACCGGTCAGAAATCCATTTGGATAATCCAATGTACTCCTTTTGCGATTGTAAAGGAGTCAACAACATACCTTCGCTACAGATTTGGACATCTACTTCTTGAAAACTGGAAATAGTACATTAAAAATTTTAAGTGAGAGAGAACCATTACGTTCAAGAAAACGGCAGTAAATGTATATACTGATGTTCCTTGCTTGCATGGAAAGTGTTATTTCCGGATGGAGCGAGGCTCGCCAAATTTGGACAGAAGTTGCTATCAACAACTCCACAGACAGAGTCATCAGTACAGCCCCAGCTCCAGAAACCGAGCCGTGGCTTGCATTTCATAATGTAGGTTGTGATTCGTGAAGTGAATTGTACGTCCTTGACACCATTACCGTGCGGTATACACGAGTAGATCCTCCTACACTTTTGTGCATATCCCAGTATATGTTCCTCTCACGTTTTCAAAGATTTATAAGCACCATAAATTGCATTGCAACATGTAGTGTATATTGTAATTTGTCGAGTCCATGATTCTTTTATTATTTCAATGACATGATGTGATGTGATTAGTAAACGTGTTAAAAGGGTCCATTGTCACTTAGTGTACAATTTTATCTTTTTTAGAATTGGGTCTGTCATTAAATTTTTGACATGGAGGCATCTAGTAAACTCCATATTATGGTCCTATCTTGTAGTTGACTTTAAGGCATTTTTTGGTGGTTCTAACGAAAGAGTCCAATTTATGGTACAAGATGACAAAACTCCCTCACAACATGAAACTCAACCACATAATGCACCGGGGGACTTGTTCTCTGTCAATAAATCATAGAGCTTGTTCTCTGTTCATAAATCTGGACCCTGAAACAAATATGATTTTGCGTATTTAGTCTGATGGGGATGTTGGACTGGGATGTTGGACTAGGATGTTGGAGCTTGTTCGCTGTTCAACTAATTGTGTATTCTGTCAGTTTAAGAGCAAATATGATTTTGGTGCTTTTGATTGGGTCTGGCAGTTTCGGTGTCGTAGCAACTTGGTGGTTTTGATGTTTGTATAGATGTGAGTGTGAGTCAGAGAAACAAAAGAAAAGTTAAATAATGGCATTGGTTCAGGAGGGAAGGTACAGGTGCTTCATTCGTTCATGGTTTATTTTGATCCCATGTTGATGTTGGTACTCTGACATTATTCTCTGAGCGAAGAGGGCAAGAACTAAAGAGGGCATATATCGACATGACTGTAGCATCAGGATTGTGGAATATTTTAATCTAGCTTGTGGGTGAAGTGGACCTATCTGTGATGATAGATTGTGGAAGCATTAACTATGAAGGAAAGGGCGAATAAATTTTCTGGCTTTACTGAGGCTGGTGATGGAAGGCTAGTGATGATGAGTTATGGATTATAGTTTGTGTTGGTGGCGGCAGGGAGAGAGCGATGAGTAGGTGGAGGAAATCATTTGTTAGTTTTACACAGCAGAAATGGATATGATGAGTGTTTTAGGTTCTTACGTTGAAACAACAGCTTCTTGAAGTGAATAATGCGAATGAGTCAGTTGTTTGAATGCTATAATTGATTGTGATAAGTAGTTGGGTCTGGATTCCCTGCCTATAGCTTTGTACAGAGGTTTGTTGTACAATCTTTCCCTGCCCTTTGTTTTTTAACAAAGTAACTAGCGGTAGCACAAACTTAGTGCTCGTTCGTCCAGCATCTAATTATATATGTGTTCTGTAGCAATCGAAGATCAAGGAAGCAGTTGGTCTGCTGAGGCCTCACTTTCAAGAGTTGGAAGCCATGGCAACAATGGACTTCACTGCACTGCCAGTCGTAGGATCAAGTTCTGTCACGCCAAGCTGAGGGAGTAGTTGCCCGGCCATAGACTCTTTTGTGAGATTCCAAAATAGACGGGAGGATCATTTTAGCTGTACAATTTTTGTTTCTTGGCCCTTGACGTAATCAGTTCATGTTAATCAATGAAATGTCAGTTTGCTGCAGAATCAATTTCTATTTGCAGTTAATGAGTGATGTTTGCTGTGTAACTTTGAGTTGATTTTAAGGATGCATATATGCTCCTTGAGATCGTTGTGAAATATGACCGGTGTTGCAGCTTAAGAATGGAAAAAACTTTAGCGTGGTTCGTGTGTTGGCTACAACTGAGATTGAAAAAACTGCAACATTGGGTCATGAGATTGCTGATAGTCACAGGTGTTTTCTGTGTAAAGATTGAGCAATATAGTTGATTGCCACAATGCATCTTGGCACCTCAAAACGTGTTGAATTTTTTAATACATTGTCATATTTGTCGAATTTGATCTTTTTAGCCAGAAAAGAAATGTGATTTTCTTACATTTATAAATCTGTTAATAAGTTAACATTCAAATTGTATAAATTGCGGTCATTTTTTTAAAAAAATTTAAACAAATTAAAAATTAAAAAGCTTAAATATGTAATCCAAAAGCATTTTTCCCAAAATTGCTTCTCAAAGCGCGCTGCTTTTGCATTTTCCTCAAAGCCTGTATCCTCTTAATTTGCATCCTTTGCTCTCAGTTCTCCCTTCCTGAGTTTCCACATGGAGACATTGTGGAGCTGCGTCTCGTCCACCCTCCACCCCAACAAGCTCCCCACCTCCCTCCATCCACCCTCCTCCTCTCATCACCTTCACTTCATCTACCACCGACCCCCCACCACCACAACTGCCCCTAATTTTCTCTCTTCTTCGTCCCTTCACTCTTCCTCACGCTCTAATTCCCTTTACAGCATTAGCGGCATCACCGACAATCACACATTATCTCCTGCCACGGTCCACTAGAAAAGCCGCGACTGGCTATGCCGCAGCTCTCATAGACACGGCTCAATGCGACCACTCCCTCGGACAAGTCGAGTCTAATGTCCACAAACTTTCCCTGTTACTCCGCTCCGTGCAGATTGAAGAAATCTTTAGCAACCCTTTCGTGAGCCACGCCGATAAAGAAGAGATACTCAAATGAAATATCCAAGCAAAGGGGGGTTTCACAGGCATTTGATTGCCTTGTCGAAGATGTTCATACGCAAAGACCATGTCGAAATGGTCGGTGAGATGTTAGAGGAATTCAAGAGGATCTACTGCGACATGATGAGTGGATCAGGAGCAGCGTTGCAAAAGGGTCGATGTCGCCAATGTAATACGTCAGTTTCTGTTGCCATGTAATGGTATATGTTGACTATTTGCGTGGGTTTGGCACTTCCCTTCACAACCTCGTATTCTGGTATTTGAATCGATTATGGCTGCACGCATTTTGGGGACAATTACCTCATCAACTATCTAAGAATCAATCAAAATGGCACGCTTAATCACATTCTACAGCCTAGGTTTTATCATGGATTTGTCAGAAGCTGATGCTACTGATTCGAACGCGTGCGGTTAGCGACCGTCGTATCTTCTTATACTGTCCAAATTAATCATTTGCAGCCACGCCACGCCTGCTCGCGACCCCCGCTCGATTGAAATGTGGAGATGCACCCGCCACGGCCACCCCAGTGGCAGTCGCGCCGCCGTCGCCCGTTCCTCCGTCCTGGCCATCCATTCGCTGCCCTCCGCCGAGCTCAGCAGCGCCTCCGCCGCCCTCGATCTCGACTCCTACAAGGTGACTCCACCCATCAGGCCCTGGCCGAAGCGCCTCTACCCGAAGCGCCTGGTGTCCATGATCACCCGCCAGCAGAACCTCGACCTCGCCCTCCAAATCTTCGATCATGCTGGCAAATACCACCCGGGCTTCTCCCACAATTACGACACCTATCTCTCCATCATCCAACGCCTCTCTCGCGCCCGCGCCTTCGAGCCCATGGAATCTCTTCTCTCTCGCCTCCGAGCCTCCCGCGTCCCCTGCGGCGAGAACGTCTTCGTCTTCGTCATCCGCAGTTACGGCCTCGCGGGCAAGCCCAGATTGGCCCTCCGCACGTTCTTGGGCATCGACGGTTTTGGCGTCCAGCGTTCCGTCAGATCTTTGAACACTCTGCTCAACGCTCTGGTCCAAAACAAGCGCTTCGATCTGGTCCACACGATTTTCAAGAACTCCAAGACCAAATTCGGGGTCGTCCCCAACGTGTTCACCTGCAACATTATTCTCAAGGCGCTCTGCAGGAAGAACGATGTGGAGGGCGCGCTCAAGGTGTTAGACGAAATGCCCTCCATGGGTATGATTCCTAATGTGGTCACTTACACCACCATTCTGGGTGGGTATGTGTCTCGCGGAGATATGGTAGGTGCTAAGAGGGTGTTCTCCGAGATTCTGGACCGGGGGTGGCTGCCGGATGCCACTACCTACACCATTTTGATGGATGGGTATTGTAAGTTGGGGAGGTTGGTCGATGCCATTAAGGTTATGGATGATATGGAGGAAAATGGAGTTGAGCCCAACGATGTGACTTATGGGGTTATGATCGAAGCCTACTGCAAGGAGAAGAAGTCCGGCGAAGCGCGCAACTTGCTCGAGGATATGCTCGAGAAGAAGTATGTGCCGAGCTCGGTGCTTTGCTGTAGAGTAATCGATGTTTTGTGCGAGCAAGGGAAGGTGGACGATGCCGGTGAACTATGGAAGAGGCTTTTGCACAAGAACTGTATGCCAGATAATGTCATATCGAGCACGCTTATATATTGGCTCTGTAAGGAAGGGAAGATTTGGGAGGCCAAGAAGCTCTTTGACGAATTTGAGAAAGGATCTATTCCCAGTGTGTTGACATATAACACACTTATTGCCGGAATGTGTGAGAGAAGCGAGCTGTGCGAGGCGGGGAAACTCTGGGATGACATGGTGGAGAAAGGGCATGTTCCAAATGCTTTTTCGTATAACATGTTAATCAAAGGGTTCTGTGAGTTGGGTAATGTGGACGAAGGCGTAAGAGTTTTCGAGGAGATGGTGGAGAAAAATTGCATGCCGAATCAATCCACTTACCATATATTGATTGAGAGTCTCTATAATATTGGAAGAGAAGAAGAAATCTCCAGGATTCTGTCGACCGCCATTTCTTGTCAGGCACTTGATAGTGATTCTTGGGAGTTTTTGGTAGCAAAGTGTATCAGTAATTTGGACAAGGGAGAAGGGCATCTTGAGAGACTGATGTCGGAGATTTCTACTTTTTGATATCAGTCAATACAGATCACTATCAAGAATTTGAGTACCAGGATTCACGTCTCAACTGTCCGACGTCGTTGCTTCCTTATGCAATGTACGCTATAGACATGCCAAAGTTTCTAGTATATATAACTCTATAGAATTTGAACTGATGATTGCAGCTTGTCTTCGTGCAGGAGAAAACCATGATGCTAAGGAGAAGAAAATTTAGGTTTGATTGCTCAAGCTGCTTGCTTCCAGTTACTGCGTTGCAACTGGGACACATGGACAGGACCTGGGTTAAGCTTTGTAGGACTCTATAGACTACCCAGCTTGCAGAGTGATTTCATTGTAATTCAGAAATAAAGGTTCCCAGTTGGGGTTCTTGGGCTGCATATTTGGAGTGATTGCCCAGACTTGCCATGGTGCCTTACTCTATGACTGATGAAGACATTGTGAAGTGGTTGCCTCAAATTTATGGCGGCAGGAATCATATGCTCGCTCACTCATAAAGAGACTCACATTAGTCTTCTCACCTTTGATAGATGTAAATGTTTGTAAGACAACACACCTGATTTATTTAGATCAAGTTTTTTGTTTCGGCGATTGTCGTGTCTGCATGGTGAGAGGATAGCAGTTTTGTTATTTGCGACTAAAGCAATTTCTTCGTACAAAATTATCGAAGCAAACACTATGTTACATCCAGGATTGATCTTATCCAAAGTAAAACCATGGGTGCACGCATTCCTTTCGATCGCTGAACAAGATATAGGGTATAAAAGAATTTTTCCACGAATTCCCTAAACCTGATTGTGCGATGCGGAGCTTGTGATTAACTATATAGCTGTTCCACAAGTTCCCATGGTCTCTCTTGGGTGATTGTATTAACGAACTCCTATGAACCGATTGAGACAAATCCATGCCTACATGCTCCGGAACGGCATAGACAACATCAAACTTCTCATCGCCGATCTCCTTGAGATCCCAAACATCTCCTACGCCCACCGCCTCGTGGACCACACTCCCAGCCCAACCCTCTTCCTCTTCAACAAGGTCATCCAGGCCTACTCCTCTATCCGCCAACCCCTCCCATGCCTCCGCCTCTACTCCCGAATGTGCCTCCGCGGCTGTCCTCCCAACCAGCACTCTTTCACTTTCCTCTTCGCCGCCTCCGCTTCCCTTTCCTCGCCTCTCCCTGGCATGATGCTCCATACCCATTTCCTCAGGTCCGGTTTCGACTTCGATGTCTTCGCACTGACGGCTTTGATCGACATGTATGCTAAGCTCGGCGAACTGGGATCGGCTCGTCAGGTGTTCGACGAAACGCCCATGAGAGATACGCCAATCTGGAACTCCATCGTTTCCGGCTACGCAAGACGTGGGTACATGGTGGAAGCTTTGCAGTTGTTCAGGACGATGCCCTGTAAGAATGTCATCTCGTGGACGTCCATCATATCGGGTTACTCCCAAAACGGGCACAGTGCGGATGCCCTGAAGATGTTTCTGGAGATGGAAGAGGGAGGCTTTAGACCGAATGAAGTTACCGTAGCTAGTGTTCTCCCAGCTTGCGCGAATCTTGGCGCTCTGGAGATTGGGGAAAGGATCGAAACATATGCGAGGGGAAATGGTTTTTTCAAGAACATGTATGTATGTAATGCTTTATTGGAAATGTACGCGAAATGCGGTAAAATTGATGCTGCGAGGCGGGTGTTCGATGAGATTGGAAGCAGAAGGGGCTTGTGCTCCTGGAATACCATGATCACTGGCTTGGCTTCCCACGGAAAGTGCAGTGAGGTTCTTGAGCTCTATGACCAGATGCTGGTAAGTTTTGCCCTCCGCACTATTTTCTTCTGTTTTCATGAGGGGTATTGAGGTCCGGACTTCCTGTTAATACGTTTGCTGTCCCCAAATTTATTGTGGCACTAGAGTGAAGGAACCATTCCAGATGACATCACATTTGTGGGACTTCTCCTGTCATGCACCCATGGAGGCTTGGTCGCAGAAGGCAGACGGCTGTTTAAGTCGATGGGAAGCGATTATGGGATTTCTCCGAAACTGGAGCACTACGGTTGCATGGTTGATCTTCTAGGTCGTGCTGGCAAGTTGCAAGAAGCTCGTGATCTTATCCGAAGTATGCCTATGAAGCCGGATTCTGTGATATGGGGTGCTCTTTTAGGAGCCTGCAGTTTCCATGGCAACGTTGAATTTGCCGAGGAGGCAGCAGAGTCCCTCATCGAGCTCGAGCCATGGAACCCAGGAAATTATGTCATCCTATCTAACATATATGCATCGGTAGGCCGATGGGATGGAGTCTCAAAGTTAAGGAAGATGATGAAGGGTGAAAATATAACGAAGGCAGCCGGATATAGTATCGTTCAAGAGGGAGGAGAAATCCACAAGTTTATAGTCGAAGATAAGTCGCATGTAAAATCGAGTGAAATTTATGCTGTGTTGCGGGGTATTTCAGCTGCAATGAAGATTCAAAAACAGGCCACAGTTTTTGAATGTGAACTTGTAGAGTTCTGATTGATGTTGTTCTTTGGGGATTTTGTCTTTTGAAAATGACACTCTTCTCCTTCGAATGTAACTATTCCCGTGTAATGCTGCCCAAAGTACAATTATATAGTTCTTTTTGTTTTTTTTTTTTTTTTTTTTTTTGGCAAGCGCCCCGAGTTACGCACTTGACATCTTTTGTCCACCTTAACGTAGAGTGCAATTGTCGACCTCCATGATGGTGCTCAGTGCATTCAACATAAAATTCTCAAACCCACTGATAGCAGTGGGACGCGGCAACAAAATAGTGGGAAACAAACATTTCCAGATTCTTCATCTCTTATTCACTAGCGGACAGATAGATCTCTTTTCACTTTTGCTGTTGTACGAAATCAATGAATCTTAATTCACACGAGAACTGTTTATAAAGGCTCCCAAATGAGTTAGTACAATCGTTGTTTCTTTCGTCACACTTTCTAGTGAGCTGGATTATGCACTCTTCACTTTTGTTCTCCATCTTCGACTCCTTCCTACTAGCTTAAGAACCTCATCAATAAGGACTACTGGTGCAGAAACCAATATGACCAGCAACCACTCGCTCAAACTCAAAGGAACAATTCCAAACACATCTGCGAGGAGGGGAACATAGAGAATAAGACAGTGAAGCCCAAAGGAGATCGACATGGCCATCAAAAGCCAAGGGTTTTTCCAAGGAGGCATTGTGAGCAAGCTGCTGTCTTCCGACAAGGCGTTCAGGGAATTGAACATCTCAATTGCCACCAAGACAGAGAGTGAAAGAGTCATGGCTTTCACTTTACCAACCGTGAAGTAGTCACAAGGATTGACGAAGGCAATCGTCTGTCCCCCGCTCACCGTGAAAGGAGTCACGGTGAAATTTGACCATGAGGGGCACTCTCCCCAGTTGCGAAGCTGAGAAAGTTCAAGTAGTGTATGGCCATCACTGACAAGATTGATACCCAGAAAAGACGGCTGTGTATACCACAGGATGAAGATGCCAACAGTTGCCATGCCCACATACGTGCCAATCACCTGTAAAGATTTTAAGCATAAAGTAATATTACTTTTCACCTTCCACACGCGGTGGTGGATCACTTCTAATTTCCAATATTGCAAAGTGCCATAGCAATTAAATAGAGGATTGGCCGGTTTTGTGGATCGTCGACAATTGCATTTACAGTTAAAATATAGTGAATCGACTCGTGACAACTGAAAGTAACAGTACATGAACTAAGATGCAAATCAGTTGGACGAATATAGATGCGACGGTAGGTCAAAGAGTATCGAACAGTACTGACCAAGTAGCGTAAGAAAACCCAAGACGTGATCAATGCATCATCACTTTTGCGGGGTGGCTTCCGCATGATATCAACATCAGCAGGGTTAAAACCAAGAGCTGTAGCAGGCGGCCCGTCGGTAACCAAATTTACCCATAGAAGCTGCACAGGTATCATACATTCTGGTATACCCAATGCAGCAGTCAAGAAAATGGAAATTACCTCGCCGACATTTGACGAAATCATATAACTGCACATTGAAGAACAAGTGAGACCTTCATTTTCTAACCATATAGCAGAAGAAATGTGGACTACGCGTCTAATAGCAAGATACTCACCGAATAAAAGCCTTCATGTTATTGTAGATAGAGCGACCTTCTGCTACAGCCGATACTATGGTACTAAAATTATCATCCGCCAAAATCATATCTGAAGCTTCTTTTGCCACCTGTAAGTCCACATGCAGGATTAATTATGCCATCTTCTACTTTGCTTGAAAACAAACATTTCGTTAGCCTGGGGTATTGGTGGACTACAAGGAAAACACAAGGATACTGACATTTAAGAGAAATAAGCAACTGTTGTTCCTAGAGCACCCTCCAAAAGGTAATGTGTCGTAATTTTTTTTTAAAAAGGGCATAGGCAAATAGTTAGGCAAATTTAAAATCTTCTGAGCTGACCTCTGTTCCTGTTATGCCCATGGCAATACCAATGTCAGCAAGTTTAAGTGCGGGTGCATCATTCACACCATCACCAGTCATTGCAACAATATGCCCCATCTCCTTCAGCATTCTTACAATTTCTTGCTTATGCCTAGGTTCCGCTCGAGAAAAAACAATTCCTCCAGGTCTTTTCAGAATTTCATTTTGCTTCGAAGGAGAAAGATTCATGAACTCTTTACCCGTGAAACTTCTGCCCCTAAGATCGTCATTTTCAGAGAGCAATCTAATTTCCCGGCAAATGGCCTCAGCTGTGGACTTGTTATCGCCAGTTATCACCATGACCTTAATGCCTGCTCTTCGACAATCCTCAATAGCCTTGTCTATTCCATCACGCGGAGGATCCTGTTGAATGAGATTGTGAGTCAACAATCATAAAATTATCACAACTGTAACATCTAGAGGTGACGCTGACCAAGTAAGATGTGATGCTTACTCGTAATCCAACAACTCCTACAAAAACTAAGTCACTTTCAACAAAGGAGTAGAAGGCGGGGTCCAGCAACTTCCCATGGGCTGGATGGCTATCATTGTTGTAGTCCGAAAATTCTCCGAGGTCATCCTTATATGCCAATCCCAAGCATCGCAGCCCCTTTGAAGACATCTCCATAAGTTTTGAAAGCAGTAGTTCCTTACAAGGTTCATCAATTGGAACAAGAGATCCATCTGCCAGTTGTACGTGTGAACTACGATCCAGTAAGCTCTCGACGGCTCCCTGCATATAACACGACAAACAATTCAGGAGCAACACTAGACGAATACAGACAAGTACTTGAAAAGCTAACCCGAGATGAATTTCCTTTCGGATAAAAACTTGGCAGTGCATCAAAAAACAAATACTGCACCAATTCATCACAAGCTAGAGATTGGATGTAAGAGTCCTCATGATATTGCTTCAAAGAGTGAAATAAAAACCATGGGTTCCACTATATCGATATTTTGGGTCCTTGCTTAAAACAAGGACTTTAAAAGAATTCCATGCGGGTGACAGCTTCATATAAATATACTACCTCAAAGCACGGTTAACAGACACTCGGTACATATTAATTCTGAAATTGAATTTGTACTTGGGAACAAGATAAAAAGAAGCACGACTTTACCTATCAATTTACCAAATTGTGTTAACTTTGACAAAGGAATATCAGAAATATGAAATCATGAAATGCATCTATGATAGCCATTCTTCTACAGTAGTGTATTAAGAATTGATCAAACCGAGAAGCAATGGTTTTTTAACTACTCTGGTGGACATCCAATAAGGTATCCGAGTGAGTCAATCTTCTGGGAACACAAAAGCCACCAAGTATTTCTACATGTTTGAATTTGACATCTGGTCGACTTTACTTGCAAATATAAAGAAAGATGCATCCTGTATATTAGAAACTAAATGACACTGTTCTGTATTCACCTTTACAAGAAGGCGATTACGCCCTGTTGGCTCCCGGGCAATGACACTCATTGATTTCCGAATGCGATCAAACTCCAAAGTGGCAATTCGTCTTGATCTTTTGTTCCACCAATCACAACAGCCTATATTGAACCAGACTCGTGAGATATACAGTAGAGTATGTATGCCTTCACGATTGTATACTAAGCAAGAAACGGATCAATCCTCACCTAAATTCACTGATCGGCTATCAATCAAGTAGTTTGCAGCAAGCCTCGCATAACGGATTTTATTCCTGATCGTAGCATCTGGAACTCCCATCTTTTCAACTAAAACCTTGAGAGCAGCCTCAGTTGGCAATCCTGTGGCTCGGAAAAGGCGACCTTCACTATATATCCCAGAGTCATTGCAAACTGCACAGATTTCTGCGACGGCTTGTAAGTTAGCATCCATATTGTAGCAGTTCCAATCAACAATACCGCCATCTTTCGGATCATAGGTCGTGCCTTCCACATAGAAAATCCGTGACGCAGTGGTCTTCCCCCCCAAAGTGAAAAATTCACTAACAGACATCTGATTTGTGGTTAAAGTTCCTGTTTTATCAGAGCAAATCACAGTTGTGCATCCTAAAGTTTCTACACTAGGAAGCTTCCGCACTATCGCGTTCTTTTGTGCCATCTTCCTGGTTCCTAAGGCTAAACTAGTCGTAATAACTGCAGGGAGACCTTCTGGAATTGCAGCAACAGCAAGGGCAACTGCAATTTCAAAATAGTAGGTGCACTTCTGGAATGAGAATTGCACATTTGCAGGCCACCCATCCACAACCTCCCATGAGAGGAAGTTTTTGTAGTTTGTAATCCATACGACGAGACAAACAAGCCCAATCGCAGTGGTAAGCCTGCCCCCAAATTCATCTAGCTTCTTTCTCAAGGGAGTGTCAGTCTCTTCTAGAGAAGCCTCGTGTATTTGCTTTTGAATTTTCCCAAGCTCAGTGTTCATTCCAGTGCTTACAACAACACACATGCAGCTCCCATTGACAACTACAGTACCGGCAAAAACCATATTTTCCTTTGCTTGCAACTCACAGTCGACCATAACAACAGGACCAGTTCCTTTCAGAACAGGTATTGCCTCACCAGTCAATGAGCTCTGCTCAACTCTGAATGTCAATGTCTTCAGAGAAACGACTCTCATATCGGCCGGGACCTTGTCACCAACCCTTAATTCCACTATATCCCCTGGAACAAGCTCCCTCGCGGGCAAATCAGGGACCAAGTACGCATCCCTCAGAACTTTTCCAGATTCACATTGCATCTCCTTGAGGGCATGAAGTGCCTTTTCAGCATTAGTTTCTTGCCACACGCCAACAATGGCGTTAAGCACCAGAATCAACATAATCACAAAGGGTTCAACATATGCCTCAAAACCAGAATCAACCGACTCACTTCCATGCATATAGGCTAAGATGAACGAAATAAATGCCGCACCCAAAAGTATCTTAACAAGGATATCGTCGAATTGATATAGGACGAGCCGCCATAAAGGCTTTCCCTTCTCTTTGGAGAGTTCATTCCAGCCGTATCTCTCGCGCAGCTTCTCAACCTCATAAGTGCTTAGACCTTTGTCCGGTTTCACTTTGTATTCCCTTAGGCACTGCTCTACCGACCATGACCATGCTGGAAATGGCGTTTCCTCCATTTACAATTCGATATGAAGTCGAGAGCCTCACCGGGAGAATGAAGTTCAGATGAAGTTACCACACATACATGCAAGCACACCCTGTAACCACAGAATGAACTTATGGTGTCAACATGAACATTCTAAAAGCAAGAGAGGGCACAACAGGTATTTCTCTACTTATTGGAGAGAAGGTATTATTGTCAAGCCATGCCTGAAGAAACCGGCTGTTTCTTCTTAAATTGCAACCGCCACATAGTTCTCTACGCCGACTACCAAAAACCAGTGACACAAATTGATATACACCGGATCTACTAGAACATGCACAAACGGAGAAATTTTGTATAAGAGACTTAAACTGACTGTATATGTCCCTACCAAAACAAGGAGCGAGACCACCAGGCACGAACGCTAAAACTGAAAACAACAGAGTAGAGAAGTACAAAAACTCAAAACACACTCGAGCAGTGTCAGAGCCAGGCCGTTTAGAGAAACTTACCAAAGCCAGAGCACCCACCAGGAACTTAGCGTCCCAAGAGGAGAGGGAAGTGCTTAAAAGCACCAAAAAAGGCGACGCATGAAGCACCGTGGAAGGTGGGGAGTAGGGAGCTTTCCAGGCAAGTTGAACGAGAAAGAAATCAGGCTTGGAGACAACGCTAAGCGCAAAAGTGAAAAATTCTCGGGTCCTCTCTGTTTATTATCTCCAGGAAACCAGACGACTGCGATGTGTCGCAAAATTTGAACTTGTGACTGGGGTTTCGTCCGCGTTTGCTCAGAATCAAAGAAGAACGAAAGCGCTGGGAGGAGGAATTTCCACTCTTTCTTTTTGAACGAGAATAATTCCTACGACGATAAACAGTTAAAAAGAGAGGATTTTGAACATGGCTCGTCGTTACGAGAATGCCCTCCAATCTCGGGTCATTTACAAAACTGGATTTTTTGAGTCCCGCAAGGTTTGACTTTCGGCAGGGACGTATGAGTGTTCTGATGCTGCAATAACGGAACTAATCAGCGTTACGTTCGTTACCAGATTCGAGGTTTTGCTTGCAGGCCAATCCCAATAGTCAATACCTACGACTGAAAACAAGTTACCATAGAAACCTTCATAAAGCGAAACTGCTGGAGACGGTAGGGGGAGACCACACGAGTTTGAACGTTTCAACGAAGAAAGATACAAATTAGGAGTACCAGAGGCCTCCTAAGTTAGCTCGTTATCTTTAAAACCATCCCCAAAGATTGAATTAACTGACCCTCCTTTCATGCTTTTATCGACTAGCGTTCGGGTGATAAACAATATTCGACTCAATTTGACTCGACTCGACTCTTGCTACTATTTGGCTCGACATGCATGATGTAACGTACCATTGCTCAACTCGATCGATGTTCTTGGGACGAGTTTTAGCTTTTTCTTCTTTTTTGGCTAGGGTGAGCAGCCGTATTAACTGTTTACACGATATGCGATTTGGTTTTGTCTCCCGAATATCAATAGAATCGTCGGTCGCCCGATGAACTAAAGACCCTTTAACTCTACTCGTCGCATGTGCATGTGCTGAGTATTAAGCTAGGAGAGGAAGTTAGATTCGCGAATATGAAAAGGAGGGGTCGTTATGGCTAGATCCAAGCTCTACTTGTTCTATGTACTAAAGACCATTACTCTACATGTTGTGTGTACATGTGCTGAAGTACTAAACTTGAAGATGAAGCTGATTCGGGAATATGAAAAGCGGGGGTTGTTATGGCTGGATCCAGCTCCAATATAATCATTGCATCTTCAGCAGAAAAAGGGCTTTATAAAATGCAACCATGATACCAAAATTCAAATTAGAAAAATGGGTAGTGACAGAGGACAGATATAAGACCTTTAATGCCTTCTTTCATGTTAAGTTACTTTTGCTTCATCTGTTAAGTTGGCGGCGTGCGTGTTACTATATATAATATACAAAAGAATTCTCTTCTGTGGGTTTTATCTTATATTTACTTAAAGACTCAAATTCCACGAAGCTTCTTAGTGCCCACACCCTCATTCCCCACACATCATGTCTCGTCGTCTTTTCCGTCATCCGATTGCGCGTGTCGTTTTTTCTGAAGAATATACTTTCGGCTCTGCTTCTTCTTATTTCTGACGTTTGAACCAGTGCCCATTTCACAACTCTATTTGTAAATAGAAAACCCAGTTGAAAAAGAGGGAAGGTGAGCTTGCTGTTGGTAAAATATATCTCGAATTTGAGCTTGATATACGAAACCCGACTCGAAATTATTTGTGTGGAAGTCTGAATATTTTAAATTGGATATTTCCTGATATGAAATTGAAATCAGCGAAGAAAATTAGAGAAGGAAATACAATGGCAGATTTATATTCGGATTGGGCTGAAATTGGAAAGGCCAACGTGTGGATAATATTCGGTCAACTTGAATTGGATTGACCGAAACTCATTGGAATTTTGTTTCCTTATCCTGTACCGCTGTACGTACGGTGGCCATCTTTGACGGTTTGTTGCAATCCTTCCAGCGGTGGAACTACGAACATGTATATTTGCGGGTTGCTCTGTTGGACGATCGGAGAGGGAGAAATATTGAAGCGCCATTTTCGTCGAGTGCTTGTGGATTATCTCCGTGGGTTTGTTCGTGGAATTACGCCAAGAGTTCAAGTGTTTATAGCGATTGAATCTTGTGGTAAGATTTGTAATTAATTCCTTCGCGAGATTGAGAGATTATTCCATGAGAAATTATGGGGCTAAACACTGCGTGAGTTATTGAGTGTAATTGGGACTTAGGAAATACTGAAAGTGTTTAAGTGACTCGAGTGTGGTTGTAATTTCCGTTGTATTGATTGATCTATAGTGAAATTCTATATCGCTATTTCCGTGGACGTAGGTCACTACGATCGAATCACGTAAATCTGGTGTCCGATTTATTTTTTTATTCTATCAATTTTATTGTTCGATCGCTTGGCTTTCGCAATAACTATGTTGGTGGACAGGGCCATAGTTGAGGTTGGTTGGTGGATGAAGTCGTCTTTGCCTCCAAGGTAACTAGATTGCTTTCAAAGTCCTGTAGGGCCTGGGAGGTCAGCACGACTTAAGAGTCATTATCAAACTTCCGACTTTTCCGTTCCGGAGCTCAATTAGAATAGACATATTGGCAGGCCTGCAATGGCTCAAATGTGGGCCCTTTCTTTCTTTTCCTAGTCAAAGGATTAGGTGGGTAGGAAGCCACAGCAGGTACGAGATTCAAAACAATCTCAGAAAACCAGGAGAGGGAAAGGGAGAAAGGGGGAAAGATGATTGCTGATTTAGGAATGACTTCCGACTCGAAGCAACGAGGGGGACCTCCCTAGTCTGAGGAACTTGACTTTTGTTATGCCGCGAGGTTTCTTACGCTCATGGAGAAACTGTCCCTTGACTTGACCGAAACAGAAAAATGATTCCAGGATTAGCTTCCTCATTTTTTTTCTCTTGAGCTGATAATGGAGGTCGAGAGCAATTTCATGGTATCGAGAAGCGAAAATGGTGAAGGAAACCTTTTCGAGGACATTTACTATCATTAACAAGCTCGATACACAAAAATCGTTGAGTCTTCTCGGTTTGGTTGTAATTTGCGTTTTACTTAAACTGTGTTCTCATTTGTGTTTCGGGAGGCCTCAGATTTATTTTAATGATGATCAAATGATGAGTTTGAGTATAAGGTAGAAAATTAGTGACTATGACTACATTTGTTTCAAGGAAATGTTATGTTGGAAAACGTTTTCCTCATTTTTCAGCGTTTAAATCGCTTAGAAAAACGAGTCAATGGAAAATCTTTTTCATTAGTAATGGAAAACCAATATTTAGATTCAGTAAAGTTGATTTTATTTTTTAAAGATCAGAAATCATTTTTCAAAGTACAACTATATATCGATACTTGAACCAAAGACTTCAACGCTTGGGCATGAAAACCCCAATGCCCGTGTCCAAATTCTTAGTGACTAAGCCCAGGTCCATAGAGGCTAGGCTTAGGACCCCAGTGTCTATGCTAGGGTCCTCGGTGACCATGCTCGGATCCTTAGTCCCGAGTAGAGACTGGATCCACAAAGGTTACGTGAATGTTCGTAGAGCCTGGTGCTCGTGCTCGAGTCCCCGTTAGTCGTGCCCGAGTACTCAACTCCTATACCCAAGTCACCAATGCTTAAGCTTGGATCCATCGAGGTGGGGCCTAGGTCCACAAAGGCTAGGCCCATGACCCCGGTGTCCATGCTCAAGTCTTTAGCGGCCATGCCCAAGTAGCCCACTTCCCTACCCAAGTCACTAGCGCCAAACTTGGGTCCACAAAGGCCAAGCCTAGGTCCCCGGTGGCATGCTTGAATACCTAGCTTAACACCCAAGTCACCAGTGGCGGGGCCCAATTCCTCAATAGCCAAGCCCAAGATCGTGGCACCCATTCATAAGTCCCCCACGACTGGGCCTAGGAACTTGGCGGTGTGCTCGGGTACCTGGCTCCCGTGCCCATGTCATTAGCACCTGGGCTCGAGACCATAATGCTCTTGTCCAAGTCCCTATGGTCAAGCCCGAGTGTTGGGCTCCCATGCCGAACTCACCAATGCCCTAGCTTGGGTCCACATAGGCCAAGTACCGGGTTCCCAGGCCAAACTCACAAGTGCCCCGATTTCTTGTGAAGAGCTTGGGACCCCGGTACCCATGCCAGAGTTCCCACTAGCCATGCTTGGATATCAAACTCTTGTGTCCAAATTAGGACCTGGGTCTCACAAGACTGGGCTTGAGTCCTCGGTGCACATACCTAGGTATAGTCATGGCCACGGTTCGGAACCGACCGGTTCCGGTTCGTGGCCAAGTATGAACCGGACGGTTCCGGGCCGGTTCCGGTTCAGGTTCGGAACCGGTCGGTTTGGAACCGATCGGTTCGGAACCGGTCGGTTCGGAACCGGTTCCGGGCCGATTCATAATTTTTCTTTTCTGTTTTTTTTCTTTTTCTTTTCCTTTTCTTTTTTTTTTCTTTTCTTCCTCTCGCCGGCCATAGCCGAGGCCGGCGGAGGTCGCCGACCGCCCGAGTGAGGCCGCCCTCGCCGGCGTCGGGCGAGGGCCGCCCTCGCCTGAGTTGGGCGAGGCCGGCCTCGCTAGATCGGGCGAGGGCTCGACCTCGCCGGCGTCGCGAGGCCGACCTCGCTGCAATTGGCGAGGCCCGCCCGCCGACGCCGCGAGGTCGAACCCCGCTGCCGGATCTAGCGAGGCTCGACCTCGCTCGCAATTGGCGAGGCCGGCCTCGCCCGACGCCGGCGAGGCCGGCCTCCCCTAAGGCTGGGAACCCTCGCCAGATCTGGCGAGGCTCGACCTCGCCGGCGTCGGCAAGGCCGACCTCGCTCTACCGGCGGGCCGGCCGCCGACGCCGGCGAGGTCGAACCCCGCCGATCTGCAGCTTTCTTCTTTTTTTTTTTTTTGAACCGGGCCGGAACCGGCGGTTCCCGCCGTCAAAATTCTGAACCGGAGGCCCGTAGGGCACGGCCGGTTCGGTTCCAAACCGCGGGCCCGGTCAACGGGCCGGGCCCAGGTTTGACCGGGCCGGTTCCGGGCCGAAACCGGCCTGTGGCCATGACTACCTAGGTACCTACCACGGCCTTGCTTGGATACCCAGCTCCTGTGCCCAAGTCATTGAAGTTAGGCTCTCGTTCCTTAGTAGTCTGACTTGCGTTCTTTGAGGTTGGGCCCTAGACCTCGATGCTTGTTCCCTAGTCCCCCATACTTGTATTTGGGTACCTGACTCTCACACCCAAGTTATCGTTGCTTAGGCCCAAGTCCATCAAGGTTAAGAATGGGTCTCCAGTGCCGATGCTTGGGTTTTGAGTGGCTATCTCGGCTCTTGCAAGCGAGACACCGGCGGCTAACTATTCATTCCATCACACAAATAGCGCATGTTTCTTTATGAAAATAAAATGAAGTTTTCCTTTTCAAATAACGGAAAAATTAATTTCCAATTAACTTTATGATTCTGATCAAAGATCAGAAAATAATTTTTGAATATTATTTTCTTAGGCCATGTTAAATTTTCCGCGAAATAAGCGGATACGACGGTAGTGGCCAAAAGCCAGCACAAGATCCTCTTCCTCCATTGGAACACCAAGAAAGAAAGAAGGTGGGGTCGGGCTTTGCTGCAAAACATGGGCCAGTCGGGCTTAGTTCATGGGTCCCCAGTTCAGAAGGGGCCCCATTTACGACGAAGAAATAATAATCTAACGGATGAAATCCCGCCACGCTGGAGCTCTGCTCCAAAAATACTTTGTGTTGTGGCGCCTCCATTCAGTTCACGTCTGAACTCCTCCGCTCGTTCTTCTGCTCCTCCAGAAGTTTCTCCGCGAGCCAGGATCGACCCAAACTCAAGCCCTACTTCCAAGTCCAAGGTACTCCGCAATTTTTGTCTTGGAGATCACAACCTCTGCTTCTCCATCCAAGCTTTGATGATACTGGCGAGCTCAGTTGTTACTTGTATAGCTGTCCTGACTGGATGTCCGTTCATCCTTACAATTTTGCTGCGTTATCATCTGATTCTTTGGCGAATATGACGGTAGCATTCGCTTTTTGTTTTTCTGACTCGAAAACTACTGGTAGCTACCAGCTATGATCACCGGAGCGATGGTGCAAGTTGTTTTAAAATCATTTTTTCCATTCGCTCTTTTGCTATCCGATTCAGTTTCCTCCTCTTTCTCCTCAATTTCATGTTCCAGGGCGATTCGTTTTGCATACCAGCGAGGATGAGGCCGGTCTTTGTGGGCAACTTTGAGTACGATACCCGCCAGTATGAGCTGGAGCGTCTCTTCTCCAAGTATGGGAGGGTTGAGCGTGTCGACATGAAATCTGGTACATCAATTATTTGATTCTGTCATAAACGTCACCTTATCGCCTGTATATACTTGCAAAATTTGTTTTTCACGCATTGTAATCCTCTTATGATGGTGAAGTCTGAACCTTTTTGGGGAGCTCGTGATTATGAGCTGACGTGGAACGAATCGGGTTTACCCATTTGTTTTTTAGCCCTCCGCGTGTTTTGCGCCTGATGCCGTCTTTGCTATCTTTCCTTAGTCGCATATTTTCTCGAGGGATACCGTTTATGATTCCTATCTATGGCTCAATTTGATAGGTGTCATGAGTTTGGCTGTGCATAGTAATCTAGGAATTATTTGCTTCCCTTGTCCCCCTTTCCAATTCCGTGTTCTTCTTATTCATGATAACTAGTTTTCACTATGGCCTTGCGACATGCAATTTTCCATATATTCTATGCATGTGTGGTGGTGACGATTCACCTCGTCCCTGCTTAAACTAGCTGTGGAAGTCACTGAACATTAACCAACTTGATATCTATTATCAATTTAGATTATATGCCAACCGGTTTACTGCTGGATGCACAACTTATCGGGTCGATATTATTAGGTGCTACCTTAATTTTGATGTTAGGTTCAGAAAAAGAATGTCGTTGTCTGGTAGGGCAAAAAAAATCCAGTTTTCATGTCCCAAACTGTTAGAAAGTAGAAACTGGTACTTGGCCCTCTGTTGTTTTGCGCGTCTATCTAAGTGGGCTGCATGTCTGGTCGGTGCTGCGATTTAAGTCAAAACGGAAAGATGACCTCTATTTCTTGGAAACTTCTTTTTCTGATAATTGAACACAATCTCTGGTAATTGAACCCCAATATAGTGCATTTAACATGCATATTGCAATATCACATTTTTCAAGTACTCGGACAGCTTGTGAACTAAAATAATGACATATGAACCTGCGGGATAAGAATGCGGCAGCAGCCACGAATCTGCATTCTATTCAGATAAGACCTCAATGTTGTAAGTGTTTCTTTTGACGCAGGAAATCTCTACTAGTGGAAAATGAGCTGAGCTTCTGTCTGACTCATGATTCTATGCTCAAAATTTCTTTTGGAAAGTAAACCTATTATGCTTCCTTTATCTTCTGCCACGCATGGGTTCAACATTCTGAATTTCTAGCAGTATCCTTCACTCTCCCACGTTGCTGCTAAGAGCTGCCAATAGAAGGAGTGGTCATGGTGGGATCAGAAATATTTGCCACATGTACAGATAATAGGAGGATGACTGTGAATGAATCTTGCCAATCATGCCATTCCGTCCACTTCCGCAAGTTGTGCTCTCTGACTGCTGAAGTATGCCTACAAATGACATCTCAGACCCGAGAATTTGGACTGAAGTCTTTAGTATGCCTCAGTTATAAGGATTTAGTTCATCTTGCAAGACCTCTACATCCTGCTGTGTCTTTGGTCGCCAGTTTTGCACAGGCATCATGTATTTTTAGTTTAAACTGGGTGAAGAAACAAAAGAACTGGCTGATCTTCTGGTGACTTAGCTGGATGATGACAATGATAGCAATTCTACTACTCCCGTTGAATTCTGCCATACCTTTGCAGGCTTTGCATTTGTCTATTTCGAGGATGAGCGTGATGCTGAAGATGCTATCCATGGCCTCGATAATGTCCCATTTGGTTATGATAAACGCAGATTGTCTGTTGAGTGGGCTAAGGTAGGCACTTTCCTGGTCTGTTCATATCTATTTCTTCCTTGTAGTGTCTCATTTTTCCCACGGGTGGTGCAACTGTCCTCGCGTGCCTGCTTTGAATTGGCATGGATACTATTGGTTCTCAATACAATGGGATGTATTCTTGGTTCCAGGGTGAACGTGGACGGTACAGAGATAGTACTAGGTCGATGCCGAACCAGAGGCCCACTAGGACGCTGTTTGTTATAAACTTTGATCCCCTTCGCACAAAGGCTCGTGATATAGAAAGACACTTTGAGCCCTATGGGAGAATACTTAATGTTCGAATCCGGCGTAACTTTGCATTTGTGCAGTTTGAGACACAAGATGATGCTACAAGAGCTCTTGAATGCACTCACATGAGGTAGTATGCTGTTACATCAAGACAGTTTTAGCCTCTGTTATTTTCTTTTTCGTCTCGATGGTTTCTGGCCTGACATATTTGGATGCACTTCTGGTGTTCAGCAAGATGTTAGATAGGGTGGTATCCGTTGAATATGCTTTGAGAGATGATGATGAGCGGGATGACATCAGAGGAAGTTATGGTCGGCGTGGGAGTAGTCCTTATGGGCAGTCGCTGAGCCCTGGATATCGTCGTCGCCCTAGCCATGAATATGGTCGTGCTCGCAGCCCTGGTTATGACCGATACAGTGGCCTACCTTACGGAAGTCCTGTTTATGATAGAAACAGGACTTCAGAGTACAGAAGATATCGCAGGTAGAAGTTATATTTAGAGATCTGCACATGATGTTATTTGATGTGGCTTTCTCCATGCAATCTCTCCGTTAAGACCATTTTCTTTCATGTTCTTGTTCAAACAGCCGCACACCCATTCGAAGATAAAGAACTTGGTGGCTTTTCTGCGAGGATCAGCATCTAGCTTTTCGACCAGGCTTTGCAATGTTGGCTTGTGCAAGAGATGCTCTCTCTCTCTCTCTCTCTCTCTCTCTCTCTCTCTCTCTCTCTCTCTCTCTCTCTCTCTCTGTGCATATGTGCACTCTGAAAGTATACCTGGTTATTGATAGCTGTAGTTATCTTTTCTCGTTTCCTGGTTACCATGGATATAGTTGCCAGTTACAGCACAGATATCCTATATCTCTTTGCCCGACTGATCGATTTTATTGATTTGCTTCAACTTGGACGTTTTGGCACATTATTTCATAGTGTGTTAGCATAGATATATAGGTGTCAGTTACAGCATAGGTATCCTATTTCTCTTTGCCCTGACTGATGGATTTTGTCGATTTGCTTCAACTGATAGAGGTTCTAGCACAATATTTCATAGTGTGTTGGAGAGACATAGCTATCGGCCTATTAAAGCATTCAGACTGCTCTTATCCTCTCCTCGTCGCTAAAAACATTCAAACTGCCATCTCAGAAGCTATAGAATCACTCAGTGGAATGGAGATACCAAGTCCAAATCAATTTCAGCAAGTACCTTTTAAACTCGCATTTCATGAAACAAAACGAAAAACTGAGTAAACTAGAGCACAATACCACGCTTAGGAGCAGCATGAGCGAAAGTCACAGCCTCTATGGTGAGAGACCTTGGAGGTTTCATGGTTTCATGGCCGGGCTTTAGCAGGTAGCAACTCAGCCACTGCTTTAGTTGTAGTTTAACTTAGTTCTTTGCAAGACCTGCTGATTGTTTTAATTAGATGTATGAAGTTCTTGAGTGCTGCAAGTTCTGAAGCACCAATCTGTCTAGTAATTTGACAGGCCAACAGTTCTTGAGTGCTGCAAGTTCTGAAGCACCAATCTGTCTAGTAATTTGACAGGCCAACTGATCATCCATCTCTTATGTGGATCACCAAGACGTGAAATTTACATTTTTGACCATTCTGTACAAAGTAGGAAGAAAGCGATAACCGTTTAATCGACTTTTGATGAATTAGAGAAGTGGCGTCTGTCTGTGGTACTACCAGTTATGCTTGACAATCTTGAATTTTTCGAGCACGACTTTCCCCTCCTTATACTTCTCAGATTCCTCGTACGCTCGTTCATACTTCCATCCCAAATTCTCCTGGCAATCGACACAGTATACATCCGAAACCACATGGAGACCGGTTATGAGATTCCTGTTCTCCTTGGGACCTTCTACTATGTTCATGGCGTGTGAGAACAGGAACGCCCTGCCACGGCTTGCCTATGAAAGAAGCACATTCCCATGATCAGCGAACCCCATCAATTCGGACAGCACGGGGTAAGTTGACCGAGGGACTATTCCTTAAATCAATCACGTGAGAATAGGCAAGAACACGGATCTCACCTGGAAATTCTTGGAGATAATGTCATCATGGCAACAGACTAGATTCCCACACTTGAAGCAGCTGTACAGACGTTGTTGTCCGGTCGAATCCGCCATTGCGAGATAAGCTCCCAAGTCAATAGCCGAATGGTCGTGTAGGTGGAGGAGGGGCAGTATTCATCACCATATAATATCGGCACTCGTTTGCCAAAACGATTCAACCAAAGATCGTCATCAATCTAAAGGAACAGAAGAAACATCAGTTCTATCCCGAAATAAGAATTTGATTGTGTGTAGATTCCAAACAGGTCGAACGAGACGCCCTAATGAATGTATTAAACTAATATAAACAGGTGGGGCAGGCAAAGACCGGATTGGAGAGCGTCTCCAGTACATTAGAATATCCCCCATTGCGTACAGGCCACTATATATGAAAACTAAAGTTAAAGAGAAGACAATTATATGCAGCAACTCCCCAAATGAGATGCTGCGTTTCCTTCTCTCTTGCCTCTCGGCCTAAACTAAAGAGCAAAGGCCGGCCCTAGCCTAGCCTTTAACCAGAGCTGCTCCAATATGATCATGGGGTTCACCATGGTTTCTTCTTCTTCTTCTCAGTGGGGTATTCGGCGGCGTCATTTGAATATGATTCAATCGACCAAATTCAGACGACTTGATCGTAATCTCTGCACATACTTCAATTCGAATTCGTTCTGCTATTGCTTTGAGATGTTCCTGAAAATGCTATGCATGTTACATCTTGATAAGGTAAGCAAGAGAGAGGATGGGAAAATTGACAATTTAGAATAGTAGCTTCAATGAGGTAGTTGGCTCAATCATTACTCCATCTCAATCGAACCAAGGGGAAACCTACTTTGGCTTGCTTCCTTTGATGACCCTACTTTTCGTTCTTCAATCATTAGATGCCACACATGAAATTTACACATCTTTGCGTGGTGCGAAACGATTGTATTGAATGTTGCAAAACGAAACAATAAAATTAGGAGAATGTGATGACTAACTAATTTGCAAGTCCAAAGACATGGATCGTGTGAATCTCTCATTTGCAAAACCCGTTAAAAATTCAAGAAAATTCTTGAATTGTCTATAGAATATGATTAACCAAGTTTAAGATGAGAATGCAGAGAGATTGCTTTTCCTTAAAAGTAGAAACCCCTCTTCCTTTTAGTTTTCTCAACAAATTCCATTGGTTACCTTTGAATTAAGGTACCGCAACCACATGGGGTTGGCCCACATGGGGGTGTTAGGCCAAGCATGTTTTTCCTCCTCGTTCAAGACTTGAATTGGAGTCATACGTTTGTTCACTCTCTTAGAACTATCCTAGAAGTACAGGCATGTGTGTCTTCGATAATTATTCGATGGGTACTAGATGGGGGGGATTGTTATACTTGATGGTGATGAGTCGAGTATTCAAAAAAGTCTCGAGCACCCCATTTATATAATAAAAGAATATTCTTTTTGCAATTGTCTATTCCGCATCAATTATACAATTGAGTTTTAAAGGTTTAACTTATGTACTCAAATCCTTTTAGCTTACACAATTTGTGAAATCGAGCTCTTATGTGCGTTCAATTAAGCAAAGGTGCATGTTGGCGTTGCAATTTTTGCCATTTAAATAAGAGAGGAAATCACTAGAAGTTTAAGTATCAAAACAAAATGGGAAAAAGATGAAATCTGAAAAGAAACAAGAGACAGGGAGAGAGGCGGAAGTGATGGTGGTGGCGGCGGCTACCGTTGAGAGAGCTGTAGTGGAGGTAGCCACCAAGGTGGTGTCGGTGGCGACAAGAGTGACACCTCCTACAACTTTTGCATCCTTTTCTTTTTCTGAGTCGCTTTCTCATTTTCCATTATATTGAATTTAAAATATATCCTATGCAATTCTAATAGAAAGCCCATGTCAGTGTTTATGGGTGTGTTCACATTAAAGGTCTCGAAAATGATTAGAATGGATGAATTAAAAGTTTGAAAACCCAATTACACAATTGAAAACGCCGGAACAAAACAAGTGAAATTAAGGTCATCTGAACGAGTATCTAAAGTCACTTGTTAAACATGCTTAAACATAGAAAGTTTCGATGTACAAAATATTAATTAGATACAACATGAGAAAAATAGTGCATGGGAGATTGCAGACGGAGTTAAAAATGGATGTTTAACAAAAATCCACGGAGGGTACAGGGGAACAGCGGCAGAGTTCTTACACGTTTTTTTGTGTAAAAGTGAAGGGAAGCATATGGCCTCTCTCTCTCTCTCGTTGTTTAGGTGGAGCGGGACGACAAGGAATCTCTTGCCATGGGGGTGAAGACACGGGACAATGTTCGGGACATGGGGGGGATGGAAGGAAGCATCGGCGGTCATGGCATGGGGGGAGGAATCCCAAGTGACTGGGACACCAAGCAAAGCAAAGGATCCGAAGCCAACGTTGATTGGGGGGGGGGGAGTGGGGCCAAACCCCATGATAAAGAGATGGATGCAATTGCAACGCACGAGACGAGAGGTCAGAAAGAAAGCGAGCTGAAGACGGGTGGACCACCCCAATACAAAAACCAAAAAAGACATCAATCATTATACGACCAATTTGTTTTGCGAATATAGCATCTGATCATGACGTTCTCCCCTTAACCTCTCTTTCTGTTTTTATTACAATCCCCACCGACCCGAACCCATCGAGGTGGGGGGGCAGGGCAGAGAAAGAGAGAAAAAGTCTGGTTGAGCAGATTCGTTGAGGGGGAGCCAATCCCGAGACGCCACGTCCCTATCCTCGCTCGCCCCTCGCCCTCGCCCTCCTTTATGATGTGAATCCATGGGCGAAACACCACCATCACCATCACCATCACCATCACCATCATCTTCCATGGCGATGTAGTAGCAGATGGCGATGGAGTAGCAGGGTGTGGAGAGAGAGAGAGTGTGTGAGAATTTGCCTCCCCCCCCACCAGCATCCCCACAGTCCGCGAGAGCTCATCAGTCTCTTGGGTGGTTTGTCTGGCGGTGGCGGCGGTGGTGTGGGGCGGGAGGGGATGGGGCTGCTGAGCAACCGAGTGGAGCGCGGCGAGATCAACCCCGGCGATCACATCTACACTTACCGCGCCGTCTTCACCTACTCTCACCACGGTCCGTCCCTGCCCCCCCCTCTCCCTCTCTCTCTCTTCCTCCTCCCCTTCGTGATTCGATTCGAGTGTTTCGGTTCGGTTCGGTTCGGTTGCTTGCCGTTCCTTTTCGCGAGCACCACTAGGCTTCCCGTGGGTCTTCGTCGCCCTCAATTGCCTCTGAATTGCGTGGATTCCGATTGCCCTCTCTTGTCTTCGTTCCCACGTTTCGGTTTCTTGCTGAATGTGGGGGTCGGGATGCTCCGAAACCATGCCTTTTTTTCTTTTTTTTTTACCGATTCTGTCTGTGGATTTGCTCCGGAATTGACATCATGATGTTCCCTCATTTGCTTGAAAGTTGTCGGATTTGATGCGAGTGTGCAGCTTTTGCTTGATGAGCGTATCGAGTTATCTACCAAAAGACACGAATGCAGATGAAGACTTTCGAATTTCTTTGCCAGTTGAATCGCTGATCTAGGCCTTTCCTGGAAGAGGAATTCTTTTTTCTTTCCCTTTTTTTTGCCCCTTTAAAGTTAAAGACGATCTCGAGTTTTCTCAGTTGAGTGGTTCCGTAAACTTGTTTCGCTGGCGGTCTGGATTACTTCAGCAGTTAGCCCTGCTTACGATCATGACTTTAACCGTGCCTGCACTGTGTATAAACGGAATTTGGAGTTTCGCGGGCTGCATCGTAGCAATTCTCGTAATGATGATTGGATAAGCTATATTTGGCGGTTTTGCTGCAGTGGATGTTATAGCAATTGCAACAGGATAGAGCATGTGTTAGACAATAGAAAGATATCGCATGTGGACTGACAAGAAATGGTAAGTATTCAAAACTCGAATTGGTCAATTCTTTCAATTGCAGAGCTTAACAATACCATTGAGGTATACAATATACATCCATTTAAAGATTAATGAATAGAACAGGTAGAGCTTAAGAAGATGGCACGTAATAGCCATTTGGGACTGCTGATTGAATTGACTGTGCTGCTGCATCAATAGTGTGTCGTAGCGACAGCAATGGTTAGGATGGATCTAATTGCTATATGCCATAGGAAGATTCTTACTTAAAAATGCCTCCTGTTTCTTGCTCAGTTGAGGTTATGTTTGCTGGTGTCTTGCTACACTGTGTAGAACGTTTTCTGGCTTGTACCCTTTTGGTTCTGAAAAACATAAGCTGGAAGCATATAAATTTACCTTATAGCAGTTGGGTCTTCAGTTGTTTTTGGGACCGACTGGATTGCCTAGTGCTTGAAGTTTGGAACATGGTGTCACTGGAACTTTAGACGAATTAGCATCCTCTAACCCCATCCAAGACAATGGATAAACGTATGTGCATATTCATCATCAGATGGCATAAGTAACAGTAGAAGGGAGATATTTGCTTCGGGGATAAAGTACCCCCCAGATCCTGTTTCCTGTTGCTAAAGTTTGTATGTATGGTGGAGCATTTTAGATGTATGCCACATGTTAAATTGAGAACAATTCTGATTGTACTCTGCACCCAGCTGTAGGCTTTTACTTTGATGACTCTGTAAAGGTAACAAGTATTTTAACTTTTTCATTGAGTTTCCATGATGAAATCTCGAATCTATTTGATGTCTGTCATGTAGGGATCTATGTCGGGGGAAGCAAGGTAGTTCACTTTAGACCTGAGCGTAACGCCGATTCAAGCATTGAAGAATCCGACTCCTATGATTCAATGTCTTCGTCTTGTCCAACCTTCCCTGACTGTGGATTCAAGCTACCCAACAGCGGTGTGACCCTCACCTGCCTGGATTGCTTCCTCGGGAAGGGATCTCTGTACTGCTTTGAGTACGGGGTTGCCCCCTCCGTGTTCCTGGTCAAAGTTCGTGGAGGCACTTGCACCACTGCCCCTTCTGACCCGCCAGAATCTGTCATTCACAGGGCAATGTATCTCCTTCAAAATGGATTTGGCAATTATGACATCTTTCAGAACAACTGCGAGGACTTTGCGCTGTACTGTAAAACGGGTCTTTTGATAATGGACAAGCTTGGGGTCGGAAGAAGTGGCCAAGCTTCTTCCGCCGTTGGTGCTCCCCTGGCTGCCATTCTCTCATCTCCTCTGAAGTTGCTAATGCCAAGTCCAGTTGGGGTGGCTACAGTAACAGCTGGAATGTATTGTATGAGCCGGTATGCTACCGACATAGGGGTGCGATCGGATGTAATCAAAGTAGCCGTGGAGGACTTGGCTGTGAACGTGGGCTGGGCAGAAGACGATCATGAGGAAGCAGCGGAGAGGGCTCCTTCTGACAGACTGATTACAGGGTGATGTAAATGAGTGTCCTTCATGTGCATATACAACGGCGTATAATCAATGATAGAGACTTCTCCTAGCCATGCCCTCATATCCATTACCAAAACTACTTTTTCTTCTTTTCCATCCTCCGCCCTCTGGTATTCAAACTTTGTCAACAAGTAAACAGTTATAATTGACTGCAGTTTGGATGTAATTCTTCGACGGTTTTAGCAATTGGTTATATTTAGTGTATGGCGCATCGTCATATACTGAAGCTTCTCTTATTTGTTTTCCTGTTAATCTGATGAAGAGCGACGCTTACTTGAACTGTGATCTTATTATTTGTGCCTTTACTTGCTATTCTAATGCTCAGGTTGCTTCAATTATGCCTGACGAGAAAGTTCATGTAAGACTGCTAGTAAGCTATTCTTATACCATTAAGTCTAGTTTCAGATTAGGGCAATAAACATTGAAGGATACTTATTATATTAAATAAGAATTTTGTTAACAGATGCACGAAACTCGTTCAGATGCAATTATAGGCTTTTCTGAATAGCTTACTAGCGGTCTTACATCCAAACCATGCAATTCTTCGACAGTTTTTAGCAATTGGTCATATTTTAGCATAAGGCGTATTGTCATAAATTGAAGCTTCTCTCTTTTCTTTTCTTGTTAATCTGATGAAGAGCGAGGCTTACTTGGACCATGACCTTATTATTTGTGCCTTACTGGCTATTCCAGCGCTCAGGTTGCTTCAATTATGCCTAACGAGAAAGTGATGTGAGACCGCTAGTAAGCTATTTTTATACCACTAAGTCTAGTTCCAGATTGGGGCAATAAACATCGATGGATACTTATCCTATTTAATAAGAATTTTGTTAACAGATGCACGAAACTCTTTCAGATGCAATAATAGGCTTTTCTGAATGAAAAAAGGAGATTTGCTTGTGTCTCTTTTCTTGTGATGCATGGTGTTCGGTTGCTTTTTCCATTTTCGATGTCCTGATAGAAATAACATAAGAGACTTAATTACCTTTCGAAATTGTCCTCAGGGACCTGTTTTCAGTAAGTGGTCTGATGATTTCATCTATGAAATGGGGCAAAAAGAGTGCAGATGAACATCTGGAGCTATAGCAGTCATAGAAAATATTGCTGATCCAATAGTTGCAGACCACTGAACAAAGAATTCTCTTTTCTCTTGTCATGAATGATGTGGAATCCATAAAGTCCAGCCAAGGTGGTGCATTGCATGGTGTCTTGCAATATGCCTAAAGCAAGCAATGGATGTTATCAAAGCCCCCACATCCACAAGCTGGTGAACCTTGCTTCTTCTAAATTCCCTTCTATCATACATCACCAGGCATGAAATCCAAAAAGTGGAACTCAAACTTCACCAAGAATTTGGTGAGAAAGTGTTATTAGACTGAGATTTGAATATTTAAGCACCTGACCCTGTATATGAATATTCATTCCCTTATATACCGATTATGATCACGAGAAAACTATGCCACCCTTTCTCTTCAACTGAAATTAATTTACGAAAGAGAGAAATATCTCTCTCTTAAGTGACTTGTGCTTATGAACTCAGGCCTCTGAAAGGGCCTTCATGGTTCTGCTTCACAACTTGGGTTATCTGAACTTTGGTCTTTGCTAGCGGACTGATTTTGTGCTATTTTCTCCTCATTGGAGGCCTTGAACTCTGCCAACTCTGCCAACTTGACCACTCCATCAACAGTTTCTTCAATTCTTGCCGCAATTTCTGTCAACAAAGACACTAATGTTGCCAGTGGTATTACACCAATGACAGGCGGTGCACGTTCTTTTGTAGTGGTCGACTTATTCTCATTAGATTCGTCAGCAAGTGGCTGCTGAAGAATGAGTTGAGTAGGAAGAGATTTCAGGGCATTTTGCAGTTCTTGTAGTGCGAAATTCATCTCTCCAACTGATAATTGTAACTTGGATGAATTGGTCGTTGTTTTCACTGACATTGAAAGTTCTCTCAAGACATTACATGAATGTGAGCACACTGCCATGCTGGCTTCTTTGAGATATTCCTTTAAATGCTCGGTTGCCTGATGCCAATAGGAATACACTCTTGAGTAATGCTTTAAATAGAATTCATGAAAACAACGAAAGTTCTGAATTTTAAAGAGTAGCTGCTGTCAAGTTTATGCACCTGCATTTCAGAGTTAAGACAACCACTGAGTGCCTCAATACAGCAAGCACAGTTGCGCAGGAGAGCTCCTATCTTGAGGTACTCTTTCCAGGGATGCCGGAAATTGAAAGGGCCATGTGCAGGTTCCCATCTCGCAAAATTGGCCTACATAGTAGTGGATACGAGTTATAAAACTTTTGAGCATTTGAAGTTACACAACAAGCATTTATTAGATAGTTTGCTGTTTTCGCTGTCGAACAAGGAGTTACCATAGATTCCTCAGTGGCCTTTGAGTTTAGCACACAGTTATATGCTTGTGTTTTATTGGAATTGTCTTTTTCGCTTGGATGCCCACTCTGATTGTCCTTGAAGTAGTTTGCAACACAACCTGTGCATTTATAAGTGACAAACAGAAACTTAGTATAGTTAATGTCTTGCTGTCACTAGTAATTCCACAGAGAGAGAGAGAGAGATGCCGAACTTGTGTTAACATGATTACCTTCGAGAGATTCAGCGAGCTTCTCCATGTTCCCATGGATGAGCCGGTGAAGCTCATCACCGGCCCAAATAGGAGAGACAAACATACTGATGAGAATGCATAAGGATGTGCCAATAGCTATTGTTGATAATCTCTGATGCGCCATTCCAACCAGTTTGTCAACGCGATAACCGGATACTGAAACTAAGCTGAAGGTGAGTATGAAGATCATGGCACCGTAATCAAATCGTGCTTTTACCGATGGCATGAACCGAGAAAATGTTGCTGCTGAAGCTGCAAAAGAACTTTTTACGTTAGCTTCTGCTATTAGTGTTCACTACTAGAAGATCTCACTCTTTAAGATGTCTTTTTCACCTACTTACCCAGTATGAAAACAGATATTCCAAGAATTACGGGCTCGAGTTTTTCTCCTGACTGACTTGCCACCCAGTGTACACCTATGCCAAGTAACCCAGCAAGAAATGTGCCTGTGGCTCTATTTATGCTCTTGCATAGTGTAGCTCCTGCATGTATACATACAAATGAATCTCAAATGGAGAAATTACATGACTAAAAGCGGTCACAGGTGAAAACAACAATGACTTCGTAAATAAGACTTCCATGATAAAAATACAAATACTAACCAACAGTGTGTTCAAAAACCACCACCACGGTCATGACAGCCCACATAGCATTTCCTCCGACACCATCGTATAAAGGCCTCATGTAGTAGAACAGCGAAACCAGGGACAGAGCAATCCCAACTTTGATGCCATGAATGACTTTCTTAGGCTCCAAAACTGCTAATGCCCACGCCTTCTCCAGAAATTTCAGGACCCTCGCCACGAGCCCTCCGACCAAGCCCTTCAATGCCAACCAAGGTTTGCAATAATAGCTACGTTCAGGAGCTGGTAACTCCGACGTTCCGTCCGGAACATTGACCCTCCACTCTAGCCCTCCCAACACTTGTTTTTCCATGACCAGATAAATTCGGATGAAAGCTGACTATTTGTTTTCTAAAGGACACAAACTGAAGAGCACAAGCTAAGCTGCGTATATGTGGAACGGCCTTTGTTTGGCTTTCTTCAGGTCACTTTGTTCTTGTCCTCGGTTGTGCTGTCTGCTCGGACACCCGTCAAGCATATATATACGACCGTCTCAAAGTTAACAGGAAGTTGAATTGGCTTACTAAAACATAAGATATTGCCCCTAAAGTAGTGGGGCACGTTATACGTAGGTGATATTTTCAATTTTGCTGGGTACGTAAGCTCAAAGTTTGGACACACTTATCAGTCACTAACATTATGTGCAAATTCTTATTAGCTCTACCCACGAATGCAATATCAGCCTTTTTTGGAATGAGAAAAGACGAGATAACATGGCCTAAAAAGGTCACAGCATGCTTTCTGCGAGACGTCATGGCACATGAAAATTTCCTGATGAGTTTATTTATCATCTCCAAAGATCTTACACGTCCCCTTTGATCTTTTGTCCTTGGCGACGAGTGCTTCTTCTCAAAGACCACTCACGACGATTCACGTCCCGTAGATATCCTCATTCAGTTCTCACGCGCGCGGATAAGGAACAACTTCAAACGCCACTAACTCGAGAAAGAGAACAGGAAAATTACCAATAAATTCCTAATGTATTTGTGTAAATTTAGTCTTAAAACTTTTAATTGTGTCAGTTAAATTCTCAACCTTTTTCTCATAATTTACCAATTGAGTCCATCCGGCCAAATTTGGTCAGAAATCGTTAACGTGGACACCAACCGTGCTGTTCTATGTGGCACGGCCGGCGCTAACATGTAATTTTTTTTCTAATATTTTTAAAAAAATTTATTAAAATTTTTTCTTTTCTTTATTTTCTTTACTTCTTTTTACTGTGGCCGGCGAGGGTCGCTAGTCATTGGGCTAGGGTCACTAAGCCCTTGCCGGCTGCGGGAGAGGGTCGCGGCTGCAAGCGACGCTTGCCTTGCTTATGACCACGATGGCCTTGCCCAGCTGGGCGAGTGTGATCCTCGCTGGCCACAGTAAAAAAAAAATTAAAAAAGGAAAAGAGAATAAAAGAAAAAAGATTCGAATATTAAAAAATTAGAAAAATTATCCACGTTAGCGTCAATCGTGCCATATAGGACAGCCGGCGTCTACGATAGTGATTTCCTGTTAAAATTGATCATATGGACTCAACCGGCAAAACGTGAAAAAGTTTAAGACTCAATTGACACAATTAAAAGGTTTATGGCTAAATTGGCAACAGTGGAATAGATTTAGGACTTCTTAATGATTTTCCGAAAAGAAAACAACTCCGTTGCCCGGAGATCTATCTTAACTTTTATAAGCTCGTCTTAATCCCAGAAAGACGTCTGCAAATTTGGAGGATTATGCAGTTTCGGTTTTGCATCATCCGGGGAAGGTTCTTCTGAGTCAAAAGTGAAATAAGTTATTCTGCTCGCCCATGTGCATGAAGTGGTGCAGCAATACAATCACGCACGTAACCGAAGCTGTGAAAATGTACATTCGTATCGATCTTTTGGCTAGTGGTAAAGTTCAAAAAGTGAGATAGTGACCTAATTTTAGGTACTCTACTAAAAACGTTTGAAGGTGCACTTGTGAGAGAGACAGAGAGGTGACCTAATTTGTCGTGGCCTAAAAGTTGAAATGCCACAATGGGGTTTAAAAAATTCAAGGGGGATCGTGCTCTGCCTACCAAGTGCTTTTCTCTTTAGTTGGTGGTCTTTAATTTACAAATATTAGGGATGATTCGATAAGCTGGTCGTGCCCTTTTCGCGTCATGGTCCTCTAATCGATCCTAATCCTTGACTGTCCTTGCTTCACGTGATCAATGAGACGGTTCTGCTCACCGGAGTCATTGATAAAACCTCATTACGACCTTTTTGGTGATTGTTATCCTTAATCATCTTTTGGAGTTTTGCATTAAAAAAAAAATCGTATCCACTTTTCATTCCAATATTAATTTGCATCTTGAGTTTGAAAACCTACAATTGACATCTCCAAATGGAATCCCAAATTCAAACATACCAATCTACCATCAAGCTCATCCAAATCCTAAACTATTCCTTCATTTCCCCTCTCTCTCTCTCTCTCTCCCGCGGGCTCCAACCAACGTCATGCCGCCACCATCTTTTATTGACGCTATACCGTCCCTAACCCCAGCTGAACCGTCTGTGCATCTCTCTCTCTCTCTCTCTCCACCATGGGCTCCGGCCAGCATCACGCCACCACCATTTTCGATTGACGCTGTACCGTCTATAACCCCCAGCTAAGCCCTCTATGCATCTCTCTCTCTCTCTCTCTCTCCCATGGCCGGCTTTGAACTTGGATGGATCCAGGTCAAGCTCTACCCCGGCAGAGCTCAACAGTTATGAGTCAACTTCAACACTGATGGTCGCAACTCAATTGGGATTGTAGGTGACATTGGCAGCATCAGGAGGGGAGGAGCTGAGCAATGGGTGGGGTAGGGTGTAGACAGATACGTAACACGATATTGTTTGTTGTAATCAATAAAATTAAACAGAATTAATAACTCTGAAAAAGCGATAACACAAATCGCATAGGCTGAAAACGGCAAGCTTAGATCGGGGGAAACGACTTCCCTTTTGACAAAAATGAAATCGCTTTCCTTAAACTACACTATGAATAAAAAAATAACCTTTTTCCTGAAAAATGATTTTCATGAAAAATATTTTTCTTTATCGTAAAGTTTTCGGTTAAACAAACGCATCCTAAACGAAAATGGCAAATTCGTAAGTTGGACCGAATGTTAGACGCGATTTGAAATGCTAAGTGCAGATTTTCAAGCTTAATGTGTGCAAAATGCCGAGGAAGCGGTAGCATGATTATATTTGTATATTTTCTCCATTTAGTATATATAAGGCAGGATAATTATCAAAAAGATTTTGTTGAACGTCTAATTACAGAGAAAGTTTGTAATTTCCCAAACACTATTATCCTCATATCATGCGTAGCCAGTGCATTGATGAGAATGACTACGGTTTCTTATTAACCAATGCCCAAGGGCGCTCAAATTAACAAGACCGTATAAAAATCAAGAGACATGAAATTCACTCCAATGCCTAAAATTTGCATTTCGTACTAGAAGGACAAGAATTTATGAATATATATATATGGGGACGCAATGGAGTCGAGAGCCACAAATTCACAAAACAGCCACACGCAATCACAAGGATTTTCCGCAGCCTGTTTCTCCATTTTCTCTTTGTTATCTTTGCGATTAAACCATTGCCTATGTGTAGTAGTAGTGATCAGATTGAAATCCCTAATTGTAACTACTCGTTTGTCACAAAAAAACAAAAACAAAAAAGCCCTATTGACCTCACCGCTTAATTATATACGCATCATCACAAAACACAATCACGAGCTGGTTTATTTGAATACTAAATATTCATTCCTTAACTACAAAATGTCGTTTTCTACTATAAATTTTTGTTTTATAAACATGGCGATAAGTGTCTATCTATCCATACTTGCGGTTTTCTTGTTTTTTTTTTTTGCGGGGGGGGGGATTATGAAACTTTTCAATCAACAAAATTTCATTAATTAAGCTAATTTTTATTGATTTAAGCAACAAAAGGAGCTAGTATTGGTGCTGTGTGTTAGAACGTACTTCTGTCCTAACTCCGGCTGAAAGCCGGTGGGACCTGGCTAGTCATGGGGGCCAATACTGATGGACGGCCGTGATTGGATGCTCGACTTGTTCGGCCCTCCAACGGTTCGATTTCTCTCGACGACGGTGATTAAAAAAGATTCAGCCGAATCATGCTGCCCAGTCCAATCTGGGCCATGGCCCATAATCATCGGGCCCATCGCAATACGGGCTCGCAACGAAGGCCCAACAGAAGCGGCGAGCCGGAAGCGTCGTCGTTTTCGAGCGTCGTGGCCCCAAGAGTCTCTCTCTCTCTCTCTCTCTCCGAGTCGACCTGCGAGGGAGGGAAGGCAGTTGGCGATGGCGAGCCGTCATAATTATCATCATCGTCTTCACCACCACCGCCGCCAAACCCATCCCTCCTTCCCCGAGACCTGAATTCCTGATTCTCTCTGTGGCAGAAGCACCGGCAAAAGCTCCCTCGAATTCACCTCCTCCTCGGTCTTCTCCGGTCAAGTCTCTCCGCGTGAGGCGGCTGCTGCGGGGGGAAACCCCGAACCGAAGAACAGAGCGAGGAGCTTCTTTCTTTTCGTCTCTGCTTTTTTTTATGCCGTCGAATTGATTCCCGGGCTGCGAGTGGCGTGCGCGCGCGAGCGAGCGCGGGGATCGTGCTTCGGGAGGCGGCGATGCCGAACCTGTATGTGACGGCGGTGCCGCCGGCGGATCTGAACCGGAACACCGAGTGGTTCATGTACCCGGGAGTTTGGACCACCTACATTCTCATCCTCTTCTTCTGTTGGCTCCTCGTCCTCTCCCTCACCTCCTGCTCCCCCGGCATGGCCTGGACCGTCGTCAACCTCTCCCACTTCCTCGTAATTCCCTCCACCTTCTCCTTCCCCCCACTTTAGAGATTCGCCTCGCCGCCTCTCGCTTGTTCCTTCCTTCCGCATGTGTTGAATGGAGCTCTTGTTCGCTTCTCGCCTCTTTTTTTTTTTTTTTTTTTTTTATTGCCATGCGAACCTCCGTTTCTCCACTGCTCTACTCTGCTCTGATGTTTTAGAGCTGGGCAAACGCCACCTCCTGCAAGCTCGATTTTTTATGCCTCAATTATATATTCAAATTCTATGGGTGTTTGGTGCCGGAACATTTGCACAGCGTATGCTCATATATGATGCACGTCTCTCCCTCTGTTAGGTAGGCGTAGGAGTAGGAGGTTCATGTGGGATTGACTGCTTCACATATCTTTAGCCTTCCTTCCTGATCTCTTCTCAGATTCCAGTTGAATTTGGTATTCGTGATTGGCAACATGCGATGTTATTGTCTGTTTTAAGGAAGAGTAGAGCTTCCCCCACCTATCAGAGCCTACCACCTGCTTCGTTCTGTCTCTATTGCATGTTGTATGAACATCTGATGTTTGCATTTGCAAAAGGTCAACTCTTGTATAGCTTGCCGTTTATGGAAAAAAAACGAGCCAGAGATTCAGCCAACATCGTTTCTACATGTCTTTTGGTAATCTTTTGGCATATTAATAGGATACTCTTAAATCGCAACGTGTCGCTCATAAGTTGATCGTCCAATTTACTGGTTGTAGACAATTATAACCGTCCCATTTGGCCCATCTCGCACTCCAAGGCAATTATCCATTCAGTTGTAGCGTTTGGTAGATAAGTGGCCATTGCTGGTTTAGGTCTGTTCTTTTCATGCCCTCTTAAGTGCCTTAACGTGGCCATACTGTTTTTGGGTCTCCTCTTTTCATTCTTGGTTTAGTCGCTTCACGCCTCCAAATACAAAATTCTCAGCTCTGGACTCCCCCTTCAGGTCACTTACCACTTCTTCCATTGGAAGAAAGGAACGCCTTTCTCAGAAGATCAAGGAATCTACAATGGCCTGACTTGGTGGGAGCAAATGGACAACGGGAAACAGCTGACACGGAACAGAAAGTTTCTTACAGTTGTACCGGTGGTGCTGTAAGTTCATTTCTGCAAAGTTATCTAGAAAAGATGATGCTATCATTCTATTCTAGGCTCTAGCATATCAAAGTCATAAAATGTTGCTAGATAGAATGCTTGACACTGCGGTCGTAGTTTTTATATCACCATTCAGGATCCAGGTCAATGGTTCTCTGTTGCTGCTCCATACTGTTTGGTTGTTTTCTATAGTCACGAGCTTATCAATCGGAGCAGTCGAGTTAAAAAAAATGGTTGTGACATTCAAAAATAGGGGCGCGATCGGGTTGTCAGGGTTTTCTAAAATGAATAGGGCTACATTTGCAGATTGTGTGTATAAAGTTTGTGTTGGTAGACTAGTCAGACGCGTTAAAACTATCAGCATATGGTGCGATTCCTTTTAGAACTATTATGATATTTGATGTCTACTTCAGTGGAGTAATACTGCACATTTGTAAAGTGATCGAGTATAATATGCATAAAGATTTAAAACTTGACTTTGATGCAATGTTCTGACGTTGAACGAAAAAACTGAAGCTATGAGTGACAGGATACTACATGTATGTGAGGCCATTATAAATCTCTTAAGTGAGCAATGTGGGATGCTTCAAATATTTAGTCAAATCAAAAGCTAAGATTGTATAATATTATCTATTAAGCTCGTGTTCCTAAAGTAACTTAAATTTTACATCACCTATGAGCAATGATGCCCAAGAGATGGATGGAACTATTTTGTCGAGAACTATATGGAAAAATGATGAGTTTTTGGTCTTCTCTGTCTTTTGGCTAAAGTTATTATATGTGTCAATTGTCATAGTGAAGGAAGTTTATGTCTTGCCAATGGTGTTGATTCTTAAGCAAGACCCATGGTTACTTTGCAGTAATAGTTATCTCCATAAGTTAGCAGCTCGAGGTTGTCTTAATGAATACGAGAAACTTTATTGCCTCTTCCAATTCTCAAATCTAAGCAAGATTCAAGGTTGCATATTATTTAAGTCGGTTGTGCACTGTTTTTCCTGAAATTACAAGTCGTGACCATCATCAAATTTCCTTCGATAGCTAAAAGCATGGCCTACAAAAGATAGATTAGCTAATAATTTCATGAAAAATAGTAGTTAGTTTGGACGACAGTATTGTGAACTTCCTTGATTTCAAATTTTGGGTGTGAGTATCTGAAATACATGATTGCTCGACTCTACTCGTGGGGCAGTGAAATGAGCCTGTGCTTTGACATTCTCTTGGCGTTTTATAATTTTAGGTTGAAGGCTAGTTCTTGTTAAAAAAGGATAATGACCTTATTCATTCGTGTCATTAGAGTACAAATTTCACAAATTGTTGCCGACAGTGTTGATGGCTTTCACAAGTTAAGATCTACAGAGTGTTAGAGGAAGTGAACCTCGTTCCCTTTTGTTGTTCATTGTCCTCTTTGCTATGCTAGCGTCATATCATTGTGAACTGACTTCACTTTTGGGGTTGATTCATCATGCGAGCACCGACTCTTTTGTTCTAATGGTCCTTGACAGTTACTTGATAGCATCTCACACAACGGACTACCAGAATCCTATGCTCTTCTTGAACACACTTGCTGTGATGGTGCTAGTTGTTGCCAAATTTCCTAATATGCACAAGGTCCGAATCTTTGGAATCAATGCAGACAAATGATTGGACTCACCTGGGCATTTGAGACTATGATCTAATGAGAAGTGAGCTGTTTGTTCTGCTTCATCTCTGTGTAGAAGTCAGATTGGCATATGCTCGGAACAGTGTTATCGTGCCAACTGCTTTTCGAATCTGTCATATGAGTGTAGCAGTTTACTTATGTACAGCAAAGAAACTCCGTCTGTCCAGATAACAGAGCAAGCACTTGTTGCTTTTGTCAGTGTAATATCAGTACAACCGTTGCTTTTTATTATTGTAAATTTACTGTGCTCTTTTATGTTCTACATGTCGACTAGAAGTTTCTGCCATAAAAATAAGAGTCGTAGGGACGGACTAAGGGACTTCCAGACTGAACAATCCCAAGGCCTGTTGCTGACATTTGTTGCTTCTGAAATGGCTGGTGTTAGTTGTCGGTGTCGTAGCGCCTCGATTTTGAACGGGCGGTAGGATATTGTCCGTGGCCCTCGGCATTCTCAATCTGTTGTTGGGTATCCAGTTTGGCTTGAATCGATCGGCAAACACACGAACATTATCACGGTGAAGGACTTTCTGCGAATTTTCCTGATAGAGCTTAGTGAACTGAATTTGTAGCAGCCGTCAGGCCCCTCCGTGCCTTCCCCTTCTAACAACAAATAGAGTGGAGTCTCCATTATGAGGCTGCTGGAGAAGAGAAGGGGGTCTCTATGTCCAGAATATAAATGCGAATCGAATCGATCTCTACGAATTGACATCAACGGGCCATGTGCAGCCTATATGATACTAAATTCCATTTTTAACCAGAAAGTCTCCTCCGTAGGCTGAAGAAGATGGTGAAGGTGACCATAGAATATTGTCAGAATTTCTTGGCATAGTGGAGAATAGCTAGTGTTTATTTCAACACGCTTGCCTATTGGGAATGTTCCGGTGGTCCCGGGTCAGGCCAAAAAGAAGGGTCGGACTTGCACAAATTTTCCTTGGGTGTCTTTTACTTTGGTATATTTAAAGGGGAGTGGATAACATGCAAGTAATGATCAAATTCAGGCAACGACGCAGAGATTGGGGTCCTCCAAATCTCAGTGGATACTGAATAAAAAAGAACATTAGGTGAGCATTTGGTTGAGGCAGGTAACTCTCTTTTCTTTTCCATTAATTTCTCTCTGAGAGTCTCTGCCCACGAAGCTTCATCCTCTCTCTGTCCTAACACACCACCCGCCCCCCCCCGAATCACTTCGAAAAAGAGAGACCCCCCCTAATCCCACTCCCCGTTTACTGGCACAAAAGTCTTATCTTTATCTTTTACCTTCACAAATCAGGATCATCCATGCCCTCAATGACTAACAGCAGCTCAACGACTAAGTAGAGTTTCCGCACATCGAAATCCAGAAAACCGTAGGAACACAAATTCGCAGATATTAAGACTTCGATCCCCTGCTCTATTGTGACATTACTTAAAACCATAGCCATCTAACAATTTTTCTTTAGACATGCATGCGAGATGAATTGGAGTTCGAGGTTCTTTGCTAAGGAAAACCAGCTCTTTTGTACTTGAGAGGCAAACTAAAGGCGGTCTTCACTGATCGCATGCACCACACACATCCCATATCTTATGGATAATTGAGAAAACTTCTTTGATAAATTCATGATATCTTCCAGGGCATTACTAAAAGACTCCAGCAGGAAGATACTCTTAATAATTCTTCGGTATCTATTTACCTTTGAGTCCAACTTTTCCTTTCTTCGATATGATAAGAAAGCACGTCTCAGATAGGTAAACTCCAAACCGATGAACTTCATCCAACTTTTCGCTTGAGTAGCTTAGCAAAAGCAAACCCTTCTAAAGATCCAAAAAGCTTAAAATTGTTTAGGAAAAAAAGAAAAAGAAAAAGAAAGCCATACAATACATGTATTCTATCTGTTAGCTCTGAACAGTTTGAGACATGTAGTAACAACCATGAGAGGAGGAAAAAAAAAAAGGTTAACACAAAAGAGAGGAAAAGAGCCAGCACACGCAGCTTCCCCAGTTGAACGATCCCTCTCTACCACGATCCTCCACCTAACATTCCATTCCAATATGCATTCGAACTGCTCTGGCCCTTTCCATTGTGATCTACTTGATCACTGCCACCCGTGCTCGAAAGCTGCTTCATCATTCCTCCAAAAGGGAACAGTAACTTCCCAACATTCTCTTGATGAACAACTCCATGGGCACTCGCATACCTGTTATCCACAGAGAAGCTAAGAGAGGGCTTGAGTTCTTGCAAATTAAACCCTGCCGACGAGTAGATAGCATTGGAATCGGCCTGTATGTTCGCCGGGAGGAAAGGAAGACTCAAGCCCCTTGAACCCATTCCGCTAGAACTATTCCTGAGCAGCTCTAGAGCTGAAGAAGGTGCACTAGAGTTGTTATCTGGACCGCCACTACTAGTCTCGTGATCAACTTTGGGAAGTTGAACATACTGAGCAATTGTTGCGTGGTATTCTTGGGTGGCTGGAAAGCCCAAATTGAGATCTTGACCTTCGTACAGTAGTCCTGCCTTTGGGTTTTGAGCAGAGAAGTGAGAGATTACAGTTGATGGGTTAAGATCGGGGAGCCGAGAAGAAGCTGATGGTGACGATGACGTCGACGAGGTGGATACTTTCTTGTTCTTCCTCGAACCGCCTCCCACTGGGACATTTCTTAGAGACCCGCCGTCGGTCCAGTACCTTCTGCAAGTCTTGCAAAAGTACCTGGGTTGAGTGAGGCTGTAGTTGTTGTAATAGCAGAACTTGGTGTTGTTCGAATTACACCTTGGGCAATTCAGCTGCTCCTGAGGCCTTGCTCTCTTCTCCAACATGGCCCTATTATTGCATGCATCTGGAGATGTCTCTTCCATTCCCTTGACCACCCTTGTGTCCTAGTTCACAATAAGGACTCACAAAAATTAGGGTTTGGTAGGATGAGGCAGGTGAGAAAGGTTTTTATTCCCACTATGGGTAAAAGATCAATCTTCACAATTCGCCACTGACTTGTATGATAAGAACCATCTTTGGCAGGTAGGCTAGAGACAATCAAATCGAACATCGACAATTAGCTAGCGGTTTACGGCTTCTAGACATTAGATACTGTTCTTCTCCCTGGCCGAAGTAGCTTCTGTAAAAGGAATTAAAGAGAAAGAAAGGGAGAGCGAAGAGCTAAAAAGAACAAAGGCTGATTACAAATGATGCCTTTTCCCCTATTCCTTTATGATCACAGTTAACATAAGCAAAAGAAAAGGTGAAGAAAGGAAAAGTCGCAGTAAGCAATTGCCCTCACATTTCAAAAAGTAAAAGTTTTCACTTTTGCAAAAGAGAGAACAGCAACATGATGAAAGTAAGATCAACGCCAAAAGAACACCATGCATCTTATGTGCAGGTAGAAAAGGACACCAAACAAACAACCTCTCAATCCATGGTTGCCCTGAGAGAAAAAAGAAAGCTGAGGAAAAAAAGAGAGCTCAGAATTGCAAAAAATGAAGAAAGCGAGAGGGACAAGAGAGAGACGGACGTCTCTACCTGTGATGGCCATCGAGCAGTATCCATGAACAAGCCCTGATGGAGCAAATTAAGCAAAAAGGCAAAAGGTGACTTGAGAGAGAGAGAGAGAGTCCACCTTCTGTTTGTCTGGAGCTGCAGTTGATGCAAGAAAGAATGTTTTAGGTTGTATGTATCATGGCTTTATGCGGTGGCTTTACTTTATGAGAAAGAGAGAGAGAGGGAGAGAGAGAGAGGTTTGTTTTGACTACACCTCATGATATATGTTAGAATATTTTCTCATGGGGTTTACTGCGTGGGAATTTCTGTCTGATGTGGATTTCAAAATTGTGCAAATGTGTGTGTTTTAGCCTTGTCTTTTTAAATTCATTGTGGGGTGGACTAGAGCTGATGGTTCTCTACCTTTTTGACTCGAACGATGGAAAGCTCTTCATTTGATTCCTTGTCTTTCTAAAGGCCGTTCAATCTCATTGGCAAGGCTGAGATTTTTCAAAACCACAAAGATTTCATTACATCAAAAAGCTCCATCTCAGTGCATGCATTCACTCTTGATGTTTCTAAAAGCATCTCCTCAAATTTCCAGTTTTGCTCCATTAGGAATAGCTGAAGTCTTTTGGCACTACATCAACCCTCTTTTACTTTCTTGAGTTTTTTTTTCGCTTGGAAAAAACCCTCTTCATTTTATCTTCTCTGAAATCATTTTCTTCGTTCGAAAATAAAAATTCATCTGAAAGGCTGGTGACATCGAGGAAACTATATTTTGTTTTGCATAAGAGCACTATCTATTTATAACTACTCAATCCGTATAAAAAAAATCGAAGTAAGCTCACGAATATAGAAATTTGCATGAGTTGATTAATCTCTCAGCAAAGGAAATAAGGACATGGAGTTGTGCATGCATGGAAAAAACAGAAGGCTTTGGCCACTTCATTTGAAGCTGCAACAGCAGGTACACACCCATTTGAGCATGCGCATCTTTGATGTAATCTTTTGTTCCCTTCATACTTTGATCATAATGGAAGGGAATATATTAGAGAGCACAAAAATATGTGAAGGTGGAAAACAAAGGAAATGGAAAATGTAACATATAATATAATATATTATAATACAATAATGGAGGTGGAAAATGGCAAAGGCAGCCGACAGGAGCCGACAAAAGCAACAAGTGCTGGGGCCCATTCCACCCCTCGGTTGTGCGGTAGGAGTAGGACTGACTATGATATTCATCGCCAAATTAGCTTCAATTGTTGGTGGTGATTACCAAAATGGCTTTCCAAAGTTAATTCATACACTTTTAAAAAGAAAAATGTTTGCTCATGCTTAGCAAAAGTTTAAAAAAAAAAAACATCTTCACTTTTCTCTTCCAAAATTCCAATATATTATTCAAAGCCGTGAAAAACTTATAAGTGAAGTTACGTGTTGAAATTCGCATGTAGTCATAAAGTTTTAGATGTCATGGATTAGAGTCAAAGTGTGTTCATCGAAAAGTAAAAAAAATTCTATCTGGGAGCGCTCTTACTACGTGAATCATATAACAATTGCTGGTAACATTATGAAATGTGACATCTCGCTTGGATGGATGATACAAGGACAAGGGCGGTCTCTTTCTTCCTTTATACATTGCCGAAGTGACAGTGCCACCTTGCGACGACAAGTTACACATTACATGGACTCCGTGGAGTGGATGTAATAATAGCTTTTCCACCAGAAACGTCCAAAAGCCAAAAAACCCATCAAAGCTCGACTCATCATCATCACCATTCACCGTCGCCTCAATCGACGTTCCTCTGTCGATGATCGCAATCGAAGCACGACCCATCTGAGAAAAGTGGATCATCAGTTGTTGCTGTCGTGTCGAGGAGAATGGACCGTCCGGCCTTGAGAAATAAAGCCCACTCTCCATCCATCCAAGCATGTGTGGTCTAGTCATGAGCTTCATCACGAGATAGGCTGATCAGATGAACAAGTGCTGCTCCACACTAATACCTCACTTTAGCTCGTGAAATCCCCAGATCAATCAATGTGCTTCCTACATGGGACTATCCCTAATCGCATGCATGTCGAGCTAGCGCTTCTCATGCCCTCGACATCGAAAGTTTGAGGTTTATTCAAGTGCGGCAAAGAGTGTCTCACCCCCTGTGGACAGTTCATTTGAAACGAAGGCGGGCGTTGTCGCGTAATATAGGAATTAAAGTAGATTGTTTTCGAGTGCTCGGTCGCTTTGATTTCCTTCATGGATATAGAGCAGCCGGTTCAAACAGTATCCATACATTTCCGAAGGGAGGAAACTGTTTGCTTCTTTTGGCGTGCTTTAAGTACGAGATGACGAGCGGTGATGCTATTTTGGCTTTTTCAAAAGATATAGAAACAAAATATGTGTAAATTGAAACTTGTTTATGTTTTTCATTCTATCATGAAGAGATGCATGCATGCATGCATAAGTACTTTTTTTCAATGAACACATGCCTATAACCAAAGCCTCCATTAAATACAAATCATAGTCCAATCTAACATATGTTTAATTATTTCATAAATCGTATCGGTAATTTATTGTTTCGTACCCAAGAATAAGGGCTTTTCTTATGCCGATAAATTTCAGTAAGTGTTGGTAAGTGTCAAAAACGGAAACTACTTGTTAGTAACTTACCAATACTTTCATAAAATTACCAAACTTTCTTGATAGTGTGCAAATTAGTAATTTTTGTACTAATATACCAACTTTTATTTGTATAGCTTTGTCATGACCCTACTTGAGATGAAACATCATATATTTTACCTCGATGTGAGTTAACGGATTACCAAGTAAGCATGGACGATTCCTCTCACGAGATGGCACTCATACTCTTCTCGAGTTCTCTTAAATCCTATCGATCGCAACTTGGTTTGACTCAGCTGATTATGAAAAATTTGTTCTTACTATAATAGTCGCCACTAATTTATTGAAGTTAGATTAGAGGCTAAGTAAAATCGTGAGGTCGTCTTACTATTGTGAACCAAAGAATTCATCCCGAGAACTTAGTCCCGAGGACTTGATTACACTAGAGGTTAATCTAACACCCCGAAATTGATATCTTTTCTCTTTATGTAAAAACGCTTCATATCATCTCTCCAATTTTTTAATGTCCCTAGGCACACACATCTAAATGGTTGGGCATCGTCGACACAAATAATGGAATTTAAACACATTGATGGTTACACGAAATAGGATATCATCAACCACTGGGGGTTTACCCCAGTGGCCACCCTTCTCACTTGAGAAGGGGGAGGTGGAGAGTTCGAATCCCCACCTTCGCAGGGGGGTAGGGGTGGAGCCACGTAGTTTAAGATGTGGGTTTCGACGCCCACGCCTTGCAAGAGGTGGGGCGCAAGTCTGAGTGTGTATCGTGAGTGAGAGATAGAATAGGATCGACCAAAAAAAAGAAAAAGAAATAGGATATCATCATAAATAAACCATGATAATAATAAAGTAATAAAGTGAAGGAAAACCCGATACGAGTCGGACAAAGAATATCACACCGCATTAATATAAAGCTCCAAGATAGGACCTCGTGTTTAAATTTAAATATGCAGGTACTCTAAATAAAGATGCATACATCCTAAAACTAAACGATGCAGTGGAAAATCTAATATCATGAGATGCGACTCAGCAGGAATTACACTATTCCCAAAAAAATGTGATTTACCACCAAATGCAGGTTTCATTATTTTTGTCCTTTGTATTTATCATTTTTTGTCATTTTCCATTTACACTTAAGATAACGTGATTAAACATCTAAGTTACACTAAAACATGTCATTGAACAACAGATCAATCACGATAACACAAATTCGACAACAATATTAGGGCATGAGCATGCAATTTTGACCCCGAAATAGTATATGAAAGTAAAAGGGACACCCCGGGACCCTTATTGAAGCCAAATGAATCCTCGAAGACTTCCGTCGAGCCCTTGAACGTGCTGGACCACGAGCTCCGAAGGCTCGATCGCTCGTCAAATTGTCCCAAATGAACCCTGAAGCGCCCCAATGAGACACAGGGCCACCAGAACAGCTCAAGGCCACCTCAGGACCCCCCAAACCGGCGTTAACCGCTCCTCAACACGCCGAACCAGCCACGGTTTGGCGAGTTTAAGGCCGGGCGGAGTGGTCTTCCAAAGGACCGGTTTGAACGTTGTTACGAACTAAACACATACAATGATTTAACACAAAATGACAACACTATATTCTAACTTAACATGAGGTGTGACTTTACTTCGAGTAAATGAAGGTGAAACGAGGCTAAAGTGACACCCCAGGCTCTCGGCAACACATAGATCCGAGGCAAGCACGCGATATATCAACATGAAAATGAGGGAAAACGGGGATTCAAGTGGACCACAGGTCTGAGTAAAGGCGAAGTAAACAAGAAATGAGAGGAATTCTACCTTGAACGAGTGAGACGGGGCAATCACACGTTTGTGCTCACGCAGTTAGAGGGAGGAGGAAGGTCCGGCCAAGAGAGGGAGAGTGACAGAGAGAGCTCTCGGCCAAATGAGGAGGAGGGAGAGAGAGCTTCAGCATTTTAGGGGGGAGAGAAAGAGGTGTCTCGTTATCCTTATTCTTCTTGGAACTTTTTTTTGTGTCTCACTCGTATCTTCTATGTACATGTGTGTACGGTACTTACGAGGATCGAACCCCGGACCTGGTACTCTCCAGCCCCATCTCTCTAATCCCTTTACCAGCAGGTCACATGCCTATTCGCCTCTTTGTACTTCAAGATCTCCCTTCCTTCAGTTTAAAGTACACGAAATACTCCTAAAGTCCTCTTAGCCATCCCTTCGGCTAAGAGGCATAGG